CCAACAGATGTCCTTAGTGTGACCCAATTTCTTGCAATGATCGCACCAGTGTCAATTTTTCTTTTTAGATGGACGAGATTAGTTTCACTTGTTGTCATTGTTGTGCCTTGAACATGTGGGACTACACTTGACTTTCCAAGCATTACTTTCTTCCTACTTTCCTCCCTTCTCACTTCCAAAAATACTTTTCAGATTGTTTTAAGAGGTTTGGTTCCAAGGATTCTCCCTCGGACTTCTGTGTTTAGCCCCAATAGAAACTTGTAGATCCTATCTTTCTCCACCAATTCTTTATACTTCTCTTTATCCTCGACACAACTCCATTGAACATCTTCATATATGTCTAGTTGCTACCAATGTCGGGTGAGTGTATTAAAATACTCAGTGACTGAGAAATCATATCATATTGTCGCAGTTCATGAAATATGTTTTTTATCTCAAATACCGCAAATGTATTGTCCATATTTGAGTAGGTTTTCTTCACTGCATTCCACATCTCCTTGGCAGTGTCATAGTACGTGAAATTCTCCCGAATTTCATTGGTCATGGTGTTGAGTAACCATGAGATGATTAAACTATTTTCTAGTTGTCATTTGTTGAGGTTAGGGTCACCCTTTACTAGACACTTAGAGTCTCCGGTGATGTAACATTCCTTTCCTTTTCCTTGAAGGAAGATTTTAACTAAACGCACCCATTGAAGATAATTTTGGTCATTCAATTTATGATCAGTGATAGGAAGAGCAGGTCCTTTGACCAAACTGGTGGTTGAACCTCCTGCCTTGTTCTCTTCCATGGTTGGCTACACTAGGTTAGAGATGGTCTAGATCGAGTTCTGATACCATGCGAAAAATACAAGGTAATAAACCTATACACTAATCTATCCCTGAAAATCAGTAAAATATTCTCCCTATAAATGTTGTACATAACTATACATAAATAACAAAATAAAACTGATTATATTATCATTAAATTTTATCATAATTTAATTATTCTAATTGATAGTATTGATCTCCAACAGATGATAAATGATAGAGGATGGAAGAGTTAGTTTATGAAACAAGACTATTATAGTGGAAGTCAATGAGGTAGGAATGTGACTTTCTATTTCTAGATGATTTCCTGGTAATAGTAAGTTGTTAATCAATTGTGACATATTGGGTGATTGGAGATGGTTGTGTGTATTGGCAAAAGAGCACATTCATATGATTCAGCGAGAAAATCATAAAGAGTAAGGGTGGAAGTGGGTAGGTGAGGAGATGATGTAGTGTGTTAGGTTTAATGAGATAGATATTATGTACCGGAAAAAATGCTCATAAAAGACTTCATTTTGAGAAATGAAGATATCATGTGTTTGAATATCGTATAAAATATATCCTTTTGTGTCATGCTTGAAGCCTAGGAAGATACACTTGCGGGCTCGAGGATCTAACTTGCCTCTATTATGTACTAATGTTGATGCATAAGACAAACACCTACAAACTTTGATGTCTAATAAAGCTGGAGTAGTATGACGAAGAATCTCAAATGGACTTTTGTGATCCAGAACAGGTGTGGGAAGCATGTTTATGTTGCACTGCATAATGCTAAGTGTTTTTTTGTACAAACCAGCTTGGAACATCAATTACTATGCCACGTACGGGAAAGACAAGTGATGACTGTTGAAAATAGAAATGAGCTATTGCGCAAGAATGTAAAATTTCAGCACTCCCTGACATATGAAAATTATTAGTTGACATGCAAAATGGTGATGAAGAAGTGATGGAATAGTGTTACAACATTTTTATGTGATGCCTATTTGAGTTGTTAACTTTTTGTCATTTGAACAAATTAATTAGTATGATGTTGGAAAATCAGGGATGATTTTTTGTAATTTGATTGAGAACTATTTTAGTGGCTTGTATTAATGTAAATTTGTAATTAACAACTTTTTACTATTTATGTCATCTACTTTAACTGCATTTTATGTTATGAGTTATTCATTTACAACTCATCATTAATTGTAGTATGTATTGTATTTTGTTTTCCATTTACACTTATCATATTTTGTTTATATTTGTAGGCATGACTTTGTTTCTTCAAAAAGACATCAAAGAAACAAGGAAAAAAAAGGAAAAGGTGTTGCTTATGATTATGGAGATCTTCCCCAATAAATTGAGGTTGAGAATGTATTAAGTCTTACTCATTGGTTCAACACACATGAATATGTGGTGCAGTATAATAACTCATTTAATAAGAGGAAAGTTTTAAGCTCAAAAGTAATGAATTTCCTCTTCTTCACCACATTAGGGTTACACTTTCATAATCATATTTAGTTTAAGGGGTGATACAATTTTGTATGTTAAATTCAGAATATTATGATAAGTTGGTTCGAGTCTTTTACACGAACGAAAAAATCATGAAACAGGAGAATTTGTACATTGAGGTTAACATCAAAATAACACATGTAGATTGGTTAACTCTGACTAATCTTAAATATGAAGGTGACAAGATGTCATTTATTCATATCTCATAAGACATGGATGACAATCAACAAATGACATTGAACTTCATGCCCATACCATAAGTCCAAGGTCGGAATTATAAAGGAAGTTTACAAATCAATTATAGACTTTTACATTATGTCCTTATTTATATATTAATTTTTCGTATAAGTAATATTCTATTTAATTTGTTGCATCATATTATACAACATATATTAAAATGCAGAAACAATAGCATGCATCTTCTATACGTCATATTCATGACACGCATAATGGTACACTATGACGTGGATTTAATATCATATTCCTCCATCGTGTTGGGTTGAACTTATTTCTTTAGTAAAAAAATGTTTAACAAATAAAATGTCGTTTGCGTCAACGACATGTGACAACATAGAAGGGTTAACCATGAAAATGATGACGATGAAGAACTTGCAATACTTGAAGATGCAACCGACCTTGGAAAAAAAGTCTTGTCCATCATAAACCAGTTCAACCACATTTAGTCCTCATGATGGTAAAATGTTATCACATATTTAGGAGATTCAGGACATATAAGCAAGAATGCAGTGAATAGAAGATGATTTAACTAATTTAAACCTAACTATTAACACAAGTTTCGATAGGGTTCATGATAAAGTTAACCGTTTAAAGGAACAATTTGATGACTTTCAAGACTTCTTTCAATAAAATTGATGTCTTAATTTACATATTATTATATCCATGTTTATTATTATGTACAATCATAACATTATCACATTATACTCTTTTTTTCTATTAACTTTGTATTTTTTTTGCGTATTTTTTTATAATTTTACAGTTTATTATACAATTTATTTTATCAACTTTCATTCTTAATCATATACTTAAATTTAAATTAACTTTATAATTAATTTAAAATAACTTTATAATTAATTTAAAATAACTTTATTAACTTAAATTATAATTTTATTTCATTTAAACAAATTATGTCAATTTTTTCTTCAAATTAATTTCCAACTCATATATTTTATTTTATAATAAATTCATATAATTAAATAATAATATATTTTAAATAATATATCATATATAATTTTAATATTATTTACTTAATTTATATTCTATTCTCAAATATTTATTTAAATTAAAGGTAAATTTTGTAATATAATTATTTTATCAATTAAATCTTAATTTTCAAATTTTATTTTTTATTTCTAACTAATTTTTTTAATCCAAACAACGTCAATTTTATTTCTACAAGTATATTTTATTCGATATGGATAAGAGAAGAACCAAAAGACAAATATGAACCAAATTAAAGTGGTATGGATCAAACTTCTCTTACGTAGTTGTATCAAATATTTTATCATTTTCGAAGCAATGGTTATCTATCTATTTTTCCATTTCAATTTATTTCTCATCAAATTCACGAACCAAATTAAAGTGGTATGGATCAAACTTCTCTTACGTAGTTGTATCAAATATTTTATCATTTTCGAAGCAATGGTTATCTATCTATTTTTCCATTTCAATTTATTTCTCATCAAATTCACTCATTTACTTTCGTACAGGTATGAAAAATATGTTAAACCTAAAAAAAATTATTATCTTTCCTTTGAAATAAAAAACGATAGATGGAAGTGACTACTGGAACCAAACAAATCTATGACTGTTGTATGCTGATGATAACCGACAAGTACGTTGGAAAAATCTTTTTCGCTACGCAACATTTTCACGATCAAGTGGTACTCTTTTTTACGTACAAAATTTAAATAAAAAGGCGATGTTCTAGTTCAAAATTTCATTTACAAAAAATTGAAGAAGCGAAAAAAAAATTAGAAAGAATAGAAATTAAAATTATTTAAATTAAAAATATTTATTTATTATTAATATTGTTTTCTTATTTTGTTATATTTTGTAATATAATTAAAAAAATATATTATTAAAAACTTTTTACACTTAATTGATGACATAATCATGTATAAATATTTATATACATAATCGATGATGTCTAACATAATCGATATGAAAAAAAAATCCATATCTTTCTTCGGTCTTTTAATAGAATTTTTGTTATTTTAATTTCATACTTTTTTTATATTAAAATACGTAAAATCATTGATTTTTTTATCTATTATATTTTTATCGTTGAAAACAATCACATTCTTAATTTCTTCAATCATTTTCTTATAATTATCTATCTCTTAAAAGACTTAAGTTTCTCGTAAAATTTACTTAAATTTATTTATAGCTTAATTTATATATGGTGGCGTTTGATGAAATTTATATGAACAATAATATATTTACAACCCATCATCCTAAATATCTATTCTACATCTCTTATTTAATAATATAATAATAATAAATATAAAAAATAAAGATTTTTTCATCATTATATTAATAAAAAATTGTGAATTATTGTTTTTTTAAAAGAGGTTGTGAAGATATACTTTTTGATAATATATGGCTGCAAATGTTGGCCACACACATCTAGGGACAACTATCTTCCCGAATGTGTATATAAAGAGCTAGGTTCCTTCACGAATGTACATTATGATATATCAGATGGTCATGGAGGTTCAGGACCACAACCCTTCATCTATTTACTTCGTTGCCTTCGCTTTCTGCTTTCTCTTCGTCTTATTCAAGATCGTTCAAAGTTGGGGTTCCTACAACTCCTCTACCAATTTACCCCCAGGACCTTGTACACTACCTCTCATAGGAAATTTACACCATTTTGTAGGTTCAGTGCCTCATCGCTCCTTAAAAAAATTGGCAGACAAGTATGGCCCGTTAATGACCATAAAACTAGGAGAGGTGTCGAACATCATAGTCACTTCACCGGAGATAGCCCAAGAGATTTTGAAAACACATGATCTCACTTTTTGTGATAGGCCTAGCCTTTCATCCTCCAGAATTGTTTCTTACAATTATACTAACCTTGCCTTCGCTCGATACGGAGAATATTGGAGGCAACTACGAAAGATATGCACAGTGGAGCTACTAACGACGAAGCGCGTGCAATCTTTCCGCTCCTTAAGGGAAGAGGAGGCATCAGAAATGGTTAAAAAAATAGCTGCAAGTGAAGGGTGCGTTATTAATCTCACCCACAACATTTACCCGATGACTTATGGAATAACGGCACGAGCAGCTTTTGGTAAAAAGAGCAGATATCAGCAAGTGTTCATATCAAAGATCGAGGAGCAATTGAAGCTCATGGGAGGGTTTTCAGTTGCTGAACTCTATCCTTCTAGCAGATTGCTTCAAATGATGGCGAATACCAAACTTGAGAAAGTCCACAGACACATTGATAGGATTTTGCAGGACATCATCGAGGAACACAGAAATAGAAGCAGCAGCGACCGTGAAGCAGTGGAAGATCTGGTTGATGTTCTTCTCGCGTATCAGGAAAAGGGTTCCACATCTCACTTAACCGATGACAACATTAAAGCCGTCATCCAGGTTAGTGTATACATTTCTTGTAACTTTTAACATGAAGAAAATGTACAGAATTACTTTCTGAATCTAAACAGTACATAAAATATGGAAAGAACTATTCGAAGATGGAGTTTTTCAGTTAACTTCTCTGTTAGTGATAAAGTGGAGTGTACTCCAGAAAAGCAAAAAGGTGTGACGTTAGAAAGAAAATTAAAATTTTCGCATATTTTAAATAACAATAATATATATGTTTTTTTTAATATATATTTATTGAATATAAAAAAAGGACCACAATTTTTTATAGTAATTTAGTGGCGCCCCTGGTTATGAACAACACATTTTCTGGATAAGGGAGGACAGAGATAGAGATGGGAAAATGGTCCGGTGAAGTCAATTAAGGATGGGTTAATAAATTATTTTTTTATATATATAATTTCTTATTTTAATTTTAATATATAATTTTAATTATACTTTCTCCCTTGTGAAAGAGTTAATGATATATTTTGCAGGACATATTCACTGGTGGAGGCGAAACTTCATCTTCTGTGGTGGAATGGGGGATGTCGGAATTGATAAGAAGTCCAAGAGCGATGGAAAAAGCACAAGCTGAGGTGAGAAGAGTGTATGATAGCAAGGGATATGTGGATGAGACAGAGTTAGAGCAGCTGGTATACTTAAAGTCCATAATCAAAGAAATATTGAGGTTACACCCACCTGTGCCACTGCTAGTTCCTAGAGAAAGTAGAGAAAGGTGCCAAATTAATGGATATGAGATACCCTCTAAGACTAGGGTCATCCTCAATGCTTGGGCAATTGGAAGAGATCCTAAGTATTGGAGTGAAGCTGATAGTTTTATACCCGAGAGGTTTCATAACAACTCCATTGATTTCAGAGGCACAGACTTTGAATATATCCCTTTTGGTGGTGGAAGGAGGATTTGCCCAGGCATTTTGTTTGCCATCCCCAACATTGAGTTGCCACTTGCTAGTTTACTTTACCATTTTGATTGGAGGCTTCCCAACCAAATGAAGAATGAAGAACTTGACATGACTGAGTGTAGTGGAATTACTCTCAGAAGAGAGAATGATCTTTACTTGATTCCCATCATCACTCGTCCACCTTCAAATATGTAATGCCTAAGACTAAGTAAGTCATCAATAATGCCATAAACTATTTAAGTTTTATCGTTTACTAATACTTATGCCATTTTGTAATTCGACTATGGCTAGAAATAAAGTGTTTATGCATGTGTTTGGAGCAGAAATTTGTTAGAATAAATGTCGTTTTAGGATCCACAGTGCATATTTTTTAAAATTTATATCCAACTTTGTTATGCACGCCATCTTCCAAATAAAAAAAAGTGTATTACTTTTGTCTTTATTTTATTTTCTGAATTATATTTTGTGGCTTAGGTTAAAGCATACGCATTAAATGTGAAGATATGTTACAAAAAGTTGAGACCAACATACGTCTCCATCAACTTAACATCAATGCTTTTTACGGAAAGAACTGAAATAAAAAAAATAATTTATATTAATAAAAGTCATTAGGATAAACGTATAATATACGGAACTAGCAGTAACGGGCGGGGCGAAGGAGAGTATTGCCTCCCCCGTCTTGTCCGAACTTTTTTAATCGTTATCATTCCGTCCCGTCCTGGTTTACTGTGGTTGGAAATTAAGGTCTTAGTTTCATTTTTTCTTGATATATATTATTTTTAAAATATAATTATATTTATAATAAATTAATTTTATTAATTTTATATTATATATATATATATATATTTATAATTATTATTAATTAAATATATTATTAATTTATTATATTTATTAAAATATATAAATAAAAAATATTTAATATTTTTTATTTATATATATATATAATAATAATATTATTATTATAATATTATATTTAAATTTAAATATATATAACGATATTATTATTATTATTATATTATATTTAAATATAAATTAATTTATTTTTAAATTATTATTTAAAAATATGAAATATATAATTTATAAAAAATTAGTTAATAAATTAATTTTTATTTAATTAATTTGAAGTAATAAAAATTTAAATTTTTTTTAATCTTTTAAAATATAATTATTTTATTAAGATAAAATTTAATATATGATAAATAGAATATTAAGATAAAAAATATGACTTAATAAAATTTAATAAATATAAATTGTAAATAAAATAATATTAATTATTATTAAGATTTATGTAAAATATTTAGAAAAAGATAAAAAAGAAAAAAATTAACTTTGTGCTAATTAAATTGATTAAAAAAAACAAATTAAGTAGAGAGATAAATGAAACGTAAAAAAGCTGAAAGGTAAAAGAAAAAGAATAATATAATAAATTAATTCATATAAAAATAAAAAGAATTAAAAAATGGGAAGAATAAAAATAAAAAATAGTAAAATAAAAAAATGACTTATGTAATAAAAAAGAAAAAAATATTTTTAAAATATTAATATTTTAAAATTTAAATTTAAATACAAAGTCAGGGACAGAGACGAAGACTGATCTGGAATAAAGATTGCATTATCCATCTTCATCCCATTCTTGACCTCAAACTTTTTAAAACAGAAAAATTTGAATTCGTCTCGCTCTCATTTAAGTCAATTTTTTTCATCAAACTCAAAACAAGAACATATTAATCTCACGTATACAAATTCAATTGTAAAAAAATATATAAATTTAATTATTATTTTCTAGTTACATATTAAATCCAAAAACCTAAACATTATATAATTAAATAATGGATTTTGATCAAATAAATTTTAAATTAAATAATATATTATTAATAAATAACAAAAAATAAATATAAAAATTATAATATATTTATTAATTATTAAATTTAAAAATTAAAATCAACCATATATATATATTATGAAATTTTGAGATCATGGTCATCTCACTTCTCATGTTACTCACACAAGTATGCATGTGGTGTTTAATTTGTTTCCCAAAAATCATTTTTTAGCTAAATTAGAATATCTTTGACCCGTTTTTCTAAAATTAATTTTAAGTTGAAATTATAAATATGACGTTAAGAAAATATAATTAATTTCTTTATTTTATTTTTTTATTAAAATAAAAGCTCTTTTACAAAAAAATGATTTTGAAAAAAAAACTGACAATTAATTCGATTTATGAATATCATTTTAATAACAAATTGTTAAAGTATATATACAAAACAAAAAGAATATCCCAAATAATAAATATAGATAATTTATAAAAAACTAAAAAAATGGAGAGTGCTGAACATTTTCTATTTCCTTGTTTAACTTAAAACCTCTTTTTGTTAATTATGGTTATATCGTTTAATAAGGATATATTCATACAATTTTTTAATAAAATATTTAAATATGTCAATTTATTTATAATTTAAAAATCATATATATATATATATATATATATATATATATGTTTATTTATCAACTTTCTGAAAATATGTAACCTGAGGATACAAGACTACCCCACCGAAATTATAAATATTGAGAAATTTATTATTTAAATTTTAGATAGACTCAAAAATTATAAATAATGAAAGATTTAAGAGTAGATAGTTATAATACTCTGTGCATATCATCATAAATTTAATCTATCACATTAGTGTTATATATACAATAGCATGTATTTAACTATATTTTATGTTTATGTTATTATTTAATTTGCAAAAATATTAATTTTTTTATATATAAACATCTAAATTAATAAGAGCCTACTCATTCTGGTCCAATTATTGATAAGTTGACTGGGCTAAAGGGTGGTAATAGAGAGAATATCATGAAAATGTTTACAAGGAGACACAAGCTACCAAATTATCTCAGCGACAACGTCACCAACTAAAATAGTCCTTATGCTTTACAATATTTCCTTTTATTAAGTATATCATATTTTGCTAAGTTGTATTCTCTGTTTTAGATTCCCTTTGGTGTAATATTTCTGTTTTCGCAATTCACGGACAACCAATCATTGGTGACGTGAAATATATTAAATCTTATGAAATGAAACAGAAAAAACAGAAGAAGTATTTTTTTTTTTTCACTTTCCTTCTCTATTCTTCTAAGAGGTACCTTGATCCTCGAAATCAAGACAAATCCTAACCCTATCAATTTGGTGCTTTCATTGAATTCTCCGTCATGGCTGAACACAACACTCGTTTCAAAACCATTGACGACGCCATACTCTGCCTCACACATAACCAAGCTCAACTCACCACCTCACAAATCGAACTTAATACCAAGCTCGATTTCATCCTTTCTCAGCTTTCCCAGCTCGACATTTCTTCAAACTCCCCTCCAAACCACAACCACACATGAAACTAGATGTCCCCAGGTTCGATGGTCACGATGCAACCGGTTGGATCTTTAAGATAAATCAATTTTTCGAATACCATCCCACACCCGAGGAGGACCATCTCAAGGTGGTTTCCTTTTATATGGATGGTGCTGCCCTAAGCTGGTTTCAGTGGATGCCTCAGAATGGCCTGCTCCAATCATGGCCCATTTTTATTCAAGCTCTGGGAACTCGCTTTGCCCCTTCCTTTTATGAGGATCCTCATGGTCTTCTCTTCAAACTCTCCTAGTGTGGCACCGTCAACGACTACCTCACAGAATTTGAACGGTTAGCTAGCTGGGTTGTTAGTCTTCCACCTTCGTTTCTTTTAAGTTGCTTTATATCTGGTTTCATCCCTGAGATCAAGAGGGAGGTTTTAGCTCTGCAACCACTAACATTTACGCAGGCGGTGACTTTGGCTAAGTTACAAGAGGATAAGTTCTTCGATCTGCGTAAGGGGGCACGTAACCGTTTTCCTTTTCCCTCCACAGCTTCCAAGTTCACCCTCTGCTCCATCACATTCGAATCGTTCACTGCCACCACTCCTCCCTTCACCTCCCAAGACAAACTATAAGAAGCTTACTCATGAGAAAATGCTGACCCGTCGACAGAAGGGTTTATGCTACAATTGCAACGAGAAGTTCCACTCGGGGCATAAGTGTAAGGCCCGTTTCTTCCTTTTGGTTGCTGAGACTCCTAATGAGGACATTCTCTCCTCATCGGATTCCCCTTCCAACCCTAACCTAGATCCACCTCCTTTGGAATTCGAGTGTAATGAGCTCTCTTCAGCCCAAATTAGCTTTAATGCTCTCTCTAGTTTGCCAGCTCCAGAGGCCCTTCGTCTAATAGGTCTTATTTTAAAGCAACAGGTCACTATTCTCGTGGGTGGAGGCAGTACGCATAATTTCATCAAAGATCGTGTGACCAAATTTCTGAACTTACCATCCCAGCCCACCCCCACACCAAAGGTGATGGTTGGTAATGGTAGCGTCATTGAGTGCCATCAGATTTGCGTAGCTATCCCAGTTTCAATTTAGGGTCAAAGTTTCACTATTGACTTTCATGTGTTACCCATTAGTGAGGCGGAAGTGGTTTTGGGAATCCAATGGCTAAAACTTTTGGGCCCAATTGTCACTAACTACTCCAAAATGACAATGCGTTTTATATAAGAGGGCCGCATGGTTGAACTTAAGGCAAATATTCCTTCTGAGCCTAAGGACATTTTAGCCCATCAACTAAAACAGATTTTTCAAACCCATTCAGGTGCAGCCTATTTTCACATTCAAGTCCTCCCTCACTCTTCCCTTTCTGTTACAACCGTCGTCATCCTACCTTCACACACTGATCCTTTTATCTTTTCTCTTCTCCACAATTATGAACTTCTTTTCCTTTTCCCCATGTCTCTGCCTCCTCCATGCAATACAGACCACCACATTCATTTACTGCCTAACTCTTCCCCAGTCAATGTCCGACCATACCGTTACCCACATTTTCAAAAATGTGAGATTGAGCGACAAATTGATGAGATGCTTAAGGGAGGGTTGATACATCCAAGCAATAGCCCATTTTCTTCACCCGTCCTTTTAGTTAAGAAGAAGGACGGTAGTTGGCGGTTCTGTGTGGATTTTCAAACTCTCAACTCAATTTCTGTGAAGGACAGATTCCCATTGTCCACCACCGACGAACTTCTTGATGAATTGGGCAGTGCCCAGTAGTTTTCTAAGCTGGATCTTCGTCAGGGGTTCCATCAGATTCGTATGAATGAGGCTGATATCCATAAAACTACTTTTCGCACTCACATGGGTCATTATGAATATAGGGACATGTCCTCTGGCCTTTGTAACGCTCCTTTCACCTTCCAGGCTATTATGAATGATCTGTTAAAGCCAATCTTGCACAAATTTGTCATCGTTTTCTTCGATGATATCCTGGTTTATTGTAAGTCTTTTGAGGACCACTTACACCACTTGGAACGTACATTTCAGATACTGTTTGAGGGCCAATTTTTCCTTAAGGGGTCAAAATGCATCTTTGCTCGGCAACAACTTGAGTATCTGGGTCACATTGTTTCTACTAATGGGGTGGATGCAGATCCCTCCAAAATCCATGCCATGGTGTCTTGGCCGACACCCACCTCTACTAAGGCTTTGCGTGGGATTTTGGGTTGACATGATTTTACCGACGCTTCATTAAGGGCTATGCCTCTATTGTGTCTCCCCTTATTGCATTATTGAAGAAGGATAGTTTTGTTTGGAGTCCTACTGCTCAATCTGCATTTGAGCATATCAAGAAGGTCGTGACCGAGGCTCCTATTTTGGCCTTTCTGGATTTCACTCTCCCCTTTCAACTTGAAACCGATGCTTCCGGGCATGGGTGTTGTTTTGATGCAACACGACCATCCCATTGCATTTTTAGTAAGCCCTTCTACCCTAAGCTGCTACGCTCCTCCATTTATGTTCGCGAGTTACATGCTATCATATCTGCTGTGAAGAAGTGGAGCCAATACTTTCTCGGGCACCGCTTTATTATTCTCACAGATCATAACCTTAAAGAATTGATGTCACAGGTGATCCAAACCCTTGAGCAACAAGTCTACCTTTCCAAGTTATTAGGATATGACTATATTATACAATATAAGGCAAGAAAACATAATGTCATTGCTAATACACTTTCCAAGCCTCTTAACAACACACAGGCTCAATTTTTGGTTCTCTCTATGCCTCAGTTTGTCTTTCTGGATCAGTTGCGTAAATCTCTTCAGAATAGCTCTGAGTTCTCATCTTTGTTGGCTGACGTGCGTAATGACCCGAATGTCTTTCCCCTCTATACCATTCATAATGACTTTTTGTTCTATGATGGGAAATTATGGTTAAACCAGGATAACCCATTTATTCCTCTTTTGTTGGATGAATTCCACACTACACCCTTGGGCGGTCACATGGGTTTCGTAAAAACCTTGGCACGCCTTCAGAGCAATTTTTTTTTGGAAGGGAATGCATTCCAACATTTGTACTTTTGTCTCACAGTGTCACACTTGTCAACAGACCAAATATGAAACACAGAAACCAGTCGGGTTACTCTAGCCGCTTCCCATTCCTCTAAATACATGGGAAGATCTCTCTTGATTTTATTATTGGTTTACCCCTTTCCATGGGTCATTCTGTGATATTAGTTATTGTTGACTGCTTCACTAAGGGGCTAATTTTGGCACTCTCCCCACTCACCTTACTGCATTTCGGGTTGCACAACTTTTTATGGATATGGTTTGCAAGCACCATGGGATTCCACATAACCTTGTTTCTGACCGTGATCCCATCTTTATCAGCAAATTTTGGCGCGAGTTATTTCGTTTATGTGGAACGAAGCTCCGTATGAGTACATCTTATCACCCCGAGACAGATGGACAAACTGAGGTCCTTAATCATACTTTGGAGCAGTACCTTCATTCCTTTGTTCACACTCAGTCCTACCACTAGGGATCGCTATATCACCCTTGCTCAATGGTCCTATAATACAACCATTCACTCAACCACTGGTTTGACTCCATTTCAGGCAACTTATGGCAAGCCTCCTCCTTCCATCCCATTTTATTTAACAGGATCTTCTACTGTGGAAGCCGTGGATTCATTCCTTACCACTCGCCAAGACCTCATTGCCATGCTGCGTAAGAAGCTTGAGAAGGCGCAGTTAGCCATGAAATCCATAGCTGACCGTAGTCGGAGGGACTTGTGTTTTCAGGGTGGGTGATTGGGTGTATATTCGCCTCTGTCCTTATTGACAGTGTTCACTCCATCCCACTTCCTATCTTAAGCTGGCCAAGCGCTTTTATGGACCATTCCACATCACAGCTCTTATAGGTCCTGTCGCTTATAAGCTCGATCTTCCTCCGAATTCACGCCTACATCCTGTGTTTCATTGTTCCATTCTGAAGCCGCATAAGGGTTCTCTTCCATCAGTCACAGCTACCCTTCCACCTCTTGCACAGGATCACATGCTCATCATTGAACCACTTGCTATTTTGGACACAAGGCTGGATCCTTCTACTATTCCGCCCACAAAGCTTGCTCTGGTTCAGTGGAAAGGTCTTCCTCCAGAAGACACTACTTGGGAGCTTTAGTCTGAGCTCGTTTCTGATTTTCACCTTAAGGATAAGGTGCATTCTATGGCAGTGGGTATTGATAGCAGCCCTACTGATTCTGGCCCAATTATTAATAAGTCGACTGGGCCAAGGGGTGGTAATAGAGAGAATACCGTAGAAAGACCTACAAGGATACACAAACTACCAAATTATCTCAACGACTACATCACCAATTAAAATAGTATTTATGTTTTATAGAATTTCCTTTTATTAAGTATTTCATATTTTGTTGAGTTGTATTTTTTTATTTTAGATTCCCTTTGGTGTAATATTTTTGTTTCGCAATTCACGAACAACCAATTATTGGTGACGTGAAAGATATTAAATCTTATGGAATGAAATGGAGAAAACGGAAGAAATTTTTTCACTTTCCTTCTATATTCTTCTAAGAGATACCTTGATCATCGAAATCAAGGCAAATCCTAACCCGATCAATAATTCTTTAATATATTTATATATATATATATATATATATATATTGTATTTATGTTTAATATTTTTGAAAAGTCAATAAATAAAATTAAATCAATTATATAAAAAAATACAATATTAATTAAATTTTTTTTAAAAAAAGAGATATCAACCTAATAATACGTTGTTCCAACAGTGTCATATTATCAATGGCACCCACAAATTTTTAAAGGGGTTACAAGATACTGATAAATTAAAATGTATAAATATAATTAAACAAATTAATAATGTGAGTATGTTCATTTTCCAATACGAGACATCAAAATAAGCAATGTGAAGAAAAATAATTATTTACCAAAAAACGACATAAAAAATTGTTCACAATAAAAATATTATTTTAATATAAAAATCATAAAGAGTTATTTAAAACAAATTATTCGAAACATTTTTTATTGAAAATACTTTAAATTTCACAAATAGAGACGTAAAAAACTATGAATCCCTGGTTACAGAATATTAACAACAAAATAACAAATTATAAAAATATTATAACCTTTTCAATAAAATATAAGTGATAATAAAATATATATTTATTAATGTTTATCAAATACTCTAACAATTGCAAAATATGTTTGCTTTTGATTAAAGAATATGTTAATCTTAATTAAAAATATATTTGAATATTAATAATAATAATCAGATAATTTTACAAAGTAAAAACAAATATTTTTCAAAGTTTTAAATTTTTTGTAAAAGTTGTATCATTTAAAAAAAAATATATATAACCTTACATCTCAATTAGACAAATATTATATTGTTTTGTAAGAAAAAAGAGAAGTGAGATACATATGTATTTTTTTCCTTTGTTTTCTAAAGCCATTTATTTTATTCAATGCCCATTAAAAATATGGTATTTTTTTTAGGAATCAAGGAGTTAAAATGTAAAATGAAAAAAAAAAAAAAGTGGCACAAAAATGTAGTTGTGGTTGTGGTATAATTTGACCAATTATACCCAAATCGGATGCAACCCTAACTGGCTCAGTATTATTTGATCCGACGTACAAGCTGTTTCAAAACCCAAACAACCATAACACTGCCCAACATCATCACCAACTCTCTGCAATCACTCTGCAATGTAAGTTTCCAAGCTCCCCTCTTTCTTTCATTTTCCATCTTCTAGATCTATTATTTTTCTTTCATTAATGGTAACCCTTCATATGTCTTCCCTATTTGAATCTAGGGTCTCGGAATTTCCCTGCTATTGTTTTTGTTTTTACTGTGCTCGATTGACGGCCTCAGATCCTGTGGGGATTGAAAGTGATTTAGGGGATTCTCTTTAAATTTGATTCAAAAGTTTAACTGTTTTTTATGCCGGGTTTTTCAATACACTATGCGAATTGCAGATTGGGGTTTGCCGATTTCAAGCGTTTTAGGTGTGATCCCTTTAGAGATTGGGATCCTGCAAGACTAGAGTTTTTAAGAGGTGCTTGTTAGGTGTATGCCACTAATCGCTGTGGTTTGTTGCAACCTTGTTAGTGATAAATAGTCCATATATTCGGTGTTTGTTCGCTCGTGTTTTGACTTTCGTCGGGTTATGTCGTGTGCGTGGGATAAATTCCTCCAAAAACGATGCTTTGAATGACTTTTGTAATGGGTTTGTGTTGTGCTTGATTTTAATAAATATAATCTCTTAGCACCCAGGCAAATATTTGCTGCCGGAACCTCTTTCTTTGAAAAAAAAAAAAGAGTTAAGTTTCCTTTTTCAGTTTGCTATACCTGGTTCCCTTCACTTGTTTTTTTTCACTTTATATTAATGGTTTTGCCAGTGCCGATTTAAGTTCACCACATTAATATTTAACTATTAAGGTGTCACTGTATTAGCTTGAATGCATATGGAAAATCTGGCATCTATTGGAATTTGGTTGGTTCAGTTTTGGTACTTAAATTGTAATTGTGGAGTCACCGGTAGTAACTTTTTTCCTGGGTTCTTCTGCATGTGTTGCTTTATTTTTCTTTTTTATGTCATTCTCTCCTATTTATTGCATTTCTTTTATGTTTGAATTGTATTATGAATCTTAGGGCCGACGAGGAACCTGTTGATCAGAAGAGATATCTTGAAGAGTCTTGCAAACCAAAATGTGTAAAACCATTACTGGAATACCAGGTGTGCTTTTTGAAGCGTTGAATTATAATCTGGATCGTTTGAAGATAAGATTTATTCTTAATTTAAATGATCAATACAATATTCTTTGTTTTCAAGATTTTAAAATCAACTATAGATTAGCACTGTAATCGAATTTTCAGATATTGGTTAGTTATAATTTTCCTTTTGAACTAGTAAAATAACTTGAGGACTCTAGTGATGATGAGTGTATAAGGAAAAAAAAGAAGAAAAAGATTAAGAGGATACTAGCAAGAGTGTAGAAATGAAGAGAACAAAGATATGCAATGTAGTGAAGAAATATTGGAATTTTCTGGTTTCTTTAACTTAAGGTATATGATCTTATTATCTGAATGTTTTATAGCTGATGAATGTCTGATTGTGATGAAACTGAATTATTAGGTTGAGGTACACAATGATAATCCAGCTATTTTTGCTTTATTCTGTTATATTTTTCTATTCTCTCATATTCTATGGTGAATGCAAACATAGCTGCAATTGCACTATATGTTGTTGTGGCATGCATCCTGCATCCTCTTGTCATCTCTCCAGCAAGTCTTCTGCCAATTGAACTTTTGAGCTAACATTATGCCAATTTTGATTGCGTTTTATTTTTATTTGCATGAAACTTAATTTTGATATGCATATATAAATATAGTTGATATGTATGTGACTTATGATGTAGTGGATTATTAGCTTTCTGCCATTTTTTGCAATCTGCAATTGCTGCTCCCAAACAAACACTTGTTCAAGTGCTTATCTTATAAATCTAAATAAGCTATAAATAACCTCTTGCAAATGATCCTAAGTATTTGTCTCATAATTTTTTGGTGACTTGTCTACACAAGTACAAAAGGATCTCAGTAAGAAGCAAGGTCTAGAAATTTTTATTGACAAATCTTTGTTCAGTCTTATTTTTTGGTTTTTTTTGCGGAGAAAACTTATTGTTTAATTTGTAACAGGCGTGCGTTAAAAGGATACATGGTGATGACTCCGGGCAGAAACACTGCACTGGACAATATTTTGATTATTGGTTTTGTATTGACAAATGTGTAAGTATTATTTAGTCAGTAATAAGCAGAGTCATTTGGTTTGCTTGTGTATTCTGTGACAAAATCATAATCCTGTAATGCAGGTCGCACCCAAGCTATTCACCAAACTGAAGTGATAGGGAAGGATTTGATGGCTTTTTATTATTGCATTCTGTTCTACTTTCATTCCCAAATAACTTCGTCTAAACTTTCGATGTTATAATAACCAAACTATTTACCCGGTTTGGTTACTATTCTATGAAGACCTTAGATTATGATTAATAAGAACATTATTCCGAAATTTGGAAGGATGTATTTTGGAATGGATCGAGCGTTGTTATTGAGTTTTGAAATATGTTTTGAACTGTGGATTTTTATTTAATTTTTCTTTATTTTCAATTATTTGGCAAAACAATATTAACTTAACACTGCATTTCTGTTGAATCCCCCATTGCTGCAAGTATGTGCTTGGATCTGTGTAAATGGTTTCATTTGAGAAATCAAGTCAAATTTTCTCAAATTTTTAATTATTGTGGGATGCATAAATGTTGCAAAATATTGATGAGGTATTGTATTCAATGGAATTGCGATATATAAAACCTTGTATAATTATATATACATAATTTTATATACATAATAAGGTTAAATAGATCACATTATGATTTACAATTATATAATGCCAATATAATATTATGGAGATCAAATTTTAAATAACACGTTGTTATGGTTCTGTTTAATAATGTGTTATTATTCTCATTTATTATGTTATTAAAATATATTAATATAAATAATTATTATTTTTTAATGATTAAATTCTATTTTTTTAATAACCAATTATTCTTCATAATTATCAAAGAGTACCAACATTTAGAAAAATAATATAATAATCAATAAATCGAAGTTTGATTGAATAATTCATTTAAAATCAGAATTAAAAATCATTTTTCCATCAATCTTTATAATTTAAGATCAAATTATGGTTTTCAAAATATATTAAGTATTAAGAATAGAAATTAATTGCTAATGTAATTGAATGAATATTCGCTGACTTAATTGAAATTTGTTGAGCAAATCCTCTCCGTAGGAAATCCATTTTTTTTTTCAAGGACTTCTTTTTCTCTCCTTCCTTAACATAAACAATATATATATATATATATATATATATATATATATATATATATATATATATATATATATATATATATATATATATATATTAGTTTTAAAACAGAAGTCTAATTCCAATTTTATTTATTTGTTGGATAGTTGTTGGGATAACATATATTTTAAGGAAAATAATGGCATTTAGAGTAATTTTTTCAGAAAAAAAAAATTTCTAGCTGGACACAATAAAAAAATAGTTCACCTTCTATTGCTACAACAAAGGCATTTTTTTGTAAAAGTCTCTATTCACTACGCCTCCAAAAGCTTAAAAAGAGAACGCCACAACTAGCAAGAAACACTAATATTTTTATATAAAAAAAGACCGGAACTAAAAATAAAAAGGTCCAACAGGGTCCTTTTAAAAACAACACACTTGCTTTCAAAATAAATTGCCAAAAGAATGTTGCTTTCAAAATATATTAGCATGTTTGAATTTAAAAACCGTGCTTAAAATGTTTCAATATCTCAGTAGTACCAGCTGTCCATTAAGTTATATGTTACCTCCATCACAAGATGGAAAGAAAAAGAGAAAAGAAAACTCTTAAAAAGCCATCACCGGAACAAGCTACGAAAACAAAACAAATGCAGTATCCAAAAAATGTTGAAGAAATTTATTCATGCAGAAAATTAAAACAATAATAGTTAGAGAGCAAAGTAAAAGAAGAGATCAAAGTGATTTATGAGAAAAAAAATCAAGATATCAAAACCCAAATGAAGAATAATGCTCACCAAAGCTTAAAGCCTCACACTCTATCTCTAGCGGATAAAAATAATAACAGTAAGGGTAAAGGAATTATGGACAGGAAAGAAGATTCTAAATGTAATCAGTATCTAGCATCAAAATCCTGATAGAACATAGACACGTACACTGCATAACACTCCAAAAATCAACTACAGCAGCAAACTCTATATTGGATTGTGCAATTACTACTTGTGCAAAGCACATAGGCAATTCTTTTCACCTACATCAGACGATATACAGTAAGGTTGAACCTTCCCATCTTGAAACCAGGTAGCACGCTTCTCTAGAAGCTCGTTCAGAAAATCATCCAGCTTCTCAATGGTGATGTTTGGCATGACCACCACATGTGCAATATTCCCCTTGCATGCCAACTGCCACTTGCGTATAAATTCCTCATCATGCGGCCTCTCAAACACAACCGTGCTGCTTAGCTCATTAAGCATTGCACCAATCCCAGCCTCAACAAGGCGATCTTTGAAGTAGTGTGCGTTTCGCAAGCATTTCTGTACTTCTTTCTGGAAACCTCTATATCCTTTTCTATTCAAGGTATACCAAAGGAATATGGGAGCATGGCCATTCCGACTACCCATGATCGTGGCATCCCTAGAAGCAAGGTATTCCACATCCCTGGAAAGAGCATTGACATACTCCAATCTTGTTATCTGCACACCACAAGGCATGGGACAACCTACAAATTTGTGGCCAGAAACACTGACACTGCCAATAGGCTTCTTAAAAGTAACTTTAGGAGCCTGAAAGCAAATACAAGATAATATAGAATATGGTAAGGTTCACATAACTACAGGAGTTGCTCTAAATTTCTGGCTTTAGTAACTGCTTAGATAAATAGTCCAACATAAGATGGGTTTGCCAATATGCATGGAATTTTAATATTGCCATTTTTAAATATAACCAGTTTATAACAAATTGAACATTCCCTGAATGAAACTGGAAAAGGAATGATGCAGTTTCATGGGCATGTAAAATATTCAGTATCATTCACATTTATACTTAATATTAAGTGGGTTGATCAACAATGAGCCACCAGCATCATAGAGCGCAAATGCATGAAAAATGAGCTACCAGAAAAATAGATAGGATATGCAAGGAAGAACCAAAATAATGTTCACTGATATGAAAATTAAACCAGACACAGGTACAATAACACATCATGAGTTTTCTATTGGAACAAATAAAGATAACAGTTGAAAATTTCATCCTTATATCTCTCATACATGTTGAATGATTGGTAGTAACATTTTCACATACTCGTTTCACGAAAGGCATCATGAGACCAAACAAAGCACCGTCACAATGGATGTAGAATCTGTCTTGCGAAAATCCAGCTTCTTCAAGTTTCTTTAGCACCAGATCAAGATCGTCCACAGCTCCCTTCACAGTTGTACCTGCAATTGTTTCAATTGTAAGAGCTAGAATCAACAAAGTGAAAAACAAGGGAGACATGGGATGCCAGAGAGAAACAGTGATGAAGAAAATTGCCTATGTTGACATTTATAATCGCTGGCTTGTCCTGATTGCGGAGAAGCTTGGCCTTGAAATCATCACAATCAATCTCACCAGACCAAAGAGTATCAACCTTCACACATTCCATTCTGTACATTCGAGCAGCTTTGAAAATAGAATAATGTGACTCTCGTGAGGCATACAAAATCCCATTTGGAAAAACCTCTCTCCTGCACGTCATATAACCATATTAGATATTCTTTACGAGCTTTACCAAAATTTGAAGGTGAACAAAATCAGACTAGCTGAAACTAACCCAACTAGGATGCCATGGAGATTTCCTTCTGTACCACAGTTTGTTATATAGCCCCAGTACTCATTTTTCTCCAGTTCCCATAGTCGGGCAAACCAATCCAAAACACCAACTTCAAACTGTCGGGAGTGGACACCATAATTGCTTTCAATAAATGGATCTCCCAGGTTGTTTATGGAAAAGTGCTGAAGTTGTGAGAGGGCACCATAATCGAAATCCAAATTATAAGGGTACCCTGGAATAAGTTTTTCATAAATTTAACACCAGGTATACTTAACTCCAAAAGCTAATTGAAGTAAGCGGGCATCATAAGTTACACAAAATCTTGATAAAATTATTTAATTAATGTATCTTTTTGAGTGCATGGTGTACCAAGGCAATACCAAGAGAGTTCAGAAAAAACATAGAGATGTTATAAATTCATTCTGAGCAGAAGATAAGAAAATATAAACAAGGGAAGGTCCATCAAAAGAGTCAAATGATTTTCTTGATGTCTACATTGAGACTTCAAAATCAGATACGTGCTATTCAGCTCCAAAAGAAGCTAGATTACTAATTAATGAAGGCACAAATTATCAAAGTATCAAACACTGGAATAGACGCTACAATTGATATAAGATATTTGAAACAAATAGAAGAATTGGTACTTCATAAGTTCAGACACGGATACATGTCGGATAAAGATACATAGAGCAAATTGATATCGGTGCTTCATGGGACACAATCAAGCTTCCTTCCTAAAACTTGGAAATGGAAGCTTATCTACCCAAGTATAAAATGATGAGGGAAATAAAAATGTGAGTGAATGTTCATCCCGCTAAATTGGTAAGAGTCCATGAGCCTGCAACACCAAGAATATTTTATCCAAATATCTCAATTTGAAAATTCAGGATTTCAATTTATGTCAATTCATTAGAATCTCCTATATTGCATTGATTTACACAAAAGATTTCATTTCAAATTTGAAGGGATGCAAGACCATGAAAATCATCAGGGGTTTGGGCTTTCAAAGTTATGAACCATCAAGTAAATCCAGACTTTACACACATTAGGACTTCTGCGGGGATGATTCTAATTCTAAGGTGATCCTTTTCATGGTAATGCCAATTACCAATAAAATTGTAGTAAAATAAATTGTTTTACACTAGATTTGTGAAATATGTATGATTAGGGGTGAGAATAGCACGCTATAGTGCCGAGATAGCACTCTAGAAGGGAGCAAAGGCCCTTGCCCGCTATGGAAACCTTCATTGTGGAGCGTTTCAGTGTTTCTCCCACAACCTTCACTCTTTGTTTCTTTGCTTCACTCCTTTCATATTATATATGAATGATTCTGTTTCTGTGAAGAGCTGTTGACTGGGAAATATATATTTATGATTCTGTCATTTAAGAAGTTTTTACATATTTAATTAATCTAATGCATGGTTGTGAAGAGTTCTTGTCATATATGTATATACTTACATGATAAACTACATAAAAAATACTAATAGTGGTTGTCCCGCTATAGAGTTTTCGGGGTCAACCGCAACGCTCCAGCATCCAGGATTTAAAAAACTGCTTATGGCACCTGAATTATGCACGTAGTTTAAATGAGTTCCACAAAGTTATGACAAAAACATGCTGGGGGATTTCTACTAAAGATAAAAGAGAAACATAAGCAAAACAGAGGATGACAGGGGAGTAGATGAGCTAAAGAAAGAAGTACAATTGCTGTGCCAATTGGTGAGTGCTGGTGCTGGTGCTGGGTCAGGTTGACACCACCAACGAAGCTAAGAAAAATTTAACGCTTACATATATCAATGGTTTAGTCATGAATCACAGAGTTAAACCTCCCGTAAATTAAGCAAAAACATAAGCAATATCATGATCTGTAGAATTTGTTCGATTTTCTAAATAATTTACATAAACGTAGTCAAGAAAGCAATAAGATCATCAAAAGAGAAAATAATGTCAAACCTAAATGATGTTTTGTCCTTTCAGTCAAAGCTCTTTTGTATCTGGCCAATACGCTTGCCATATGAGCTTCCCTGTCCCCAGTAACCTCGTCATCTGCATCTGGCTCTGTGACTTCTAGAGACATGGTATGAATATTTCTTCCCAGAACTATCAATCTTTTCTCTTTTCCCTGATTGATCAGCCCCTCCTCGTTGACACTGTCATTGTCTGCAACTGTGGAAGGCACAGGATCCCTGACTAAAGCTGTTGCATCAAAATCCTCAGGCAACGGTTCCACTTCTCCGTTGATTCTCAAATCCTCATTTAAAGCGCCAGCACTCCCAACCATATTGATACCAGAAACACAAAGCACCTGACATAAATGGATTGCTAGAGCGAATTAGAAAATTGAGAGCTAAATTATAAATAAAGATAAAGCAAGAGAGTAATTAAGCCCAAAGACACGTCTGAAACAACTAGGTTTCACATATAAACAAGCCATCATTCTCAAATCGTATAAATTAAAGGAACACAACCTACGAAACTGTTCAATTATTTTACTCTATCAATCAAATACTTCGCGTGCAAGCAAGACCGCGCAAAAGGAAACAACACCTTGAATGGAAATTTCATACACGGATCTATTTAATTTTCCTTTTTTGATACACATTCTAGGCCACCATTGAGAACTCAGCCACCATAAACAAAACAAAGATCAACTTTCAACGACATCTCTAAAGCCAAAACCAGAACAACGAGTATTCCTCAAACACATTGGAAAAATAGCAAGGATTTTTTGCGATGACCTATGGATTCACAGAATCACAGCATGTCAATCACGTGCACAAAACATGCAGCTTCAGAGAACAACGATCTGAGCAATGAGAGACAGACAGTAAAATCCAGAAGAATGGAGCAAGCAGAATAGTTAATGCATCAGAAGCTCGGGCATGGTTTAAAGACAAAAATGAAAGTAAGATGATGGATCTGAGAGAATACGAAGACGAAAAGCTAACCGCAAAGAGAAGCGTTTGAATCGACAAAGGAAAGAGAGAAACGGCGAAAGACTCGGCCTCTGGCACGAGAGAGATGCAATAATATGGGGCAAAGAGAGTGACGGAACTCAACGTCCCTTCTTTTATAGCCGCCTCAGATTCCGTCACGCGCTTCAACTGACCACACGCATGTTAGTCTGTGAGGTGGAGCCATGCATGTTATGCCGCTGTCCCTACAAAGATTTCACAATCTATGCAAATGAATTCCCTGCAGTTGCTTTTCAACTGCATCAAATCTCAACCCTTCGTTCTACATTTTACTATTACAAATTTAATAAACATGTGAGATAGAAATTAGAATAAAACGGTCCTAAGATCATAACTTCACCACTCTGCAGTTGCTATTCAACTGTAGGAAGTCTTGGTCACCCGATCATGTAATAATAATAAATGATGTGTTGGACTGTACTTTTACTTTAATACTTACTTTACAAAATCATTTCTAAAAAAAAACCTTTTTTTTCGAGAAAAAAATGTGAAAATGTAAAATAAAGTATAAATAATAGAAGATTTTATAAAAAAATAACCTAGATGTATTTTGTTTTAATATGTACGAAGTTTTATCATAGTTACATTCCATCTTAAATTGTGTAAAAATCCTTAATCAAATGCGACATGTCTTTGATGGTGTAAAAGGAATTGTCAAGATAAATTATTTGACATCTTTAATAGAACCATATCCATTCACATAATCCATTATTCCCTATATTTTTTACCACAAATGTAAAGAAAAAGATACGTATACGAAGGAGTTTAACCATAACCATGAAACAACCTTACACATGGTGGATCTTGGCAATATTACACTATGGAAGAACTAAAATTGAACAGAAAAAGCTTGAACTTGGTACATTCCTCTTAATTACTACAGGTCCGTGTAAGTTGGATTTGATGGAAAAATTGACTTTCATATCTATTCTTTTTGCAACGAATGAGTGCCAAGTTATGGAGAGGAGCAGTTTCATCTTCACCGAAGAAAGACAATATTACCCCTAGAAAATTGATGCTTTAGCATGCTCTTCCCCTTCAAGGGTTGCACATGTGTCTTGGTTTTAGTCAACATCACCCTAATTCATTTTTAGTTTTTCACAAATACATTACTCAATTAAATGCACTAGAAAATAAAGAATTTAAAAGTTATGCATAACGAGATTATAGAGAGAAGTTGATTAATATTGTGTTAGAATTAATATTTTTGGTATTTTTATTCTGAAGTTTTCGTTAATCAAGATTTTATTTTTAAAAAATATATAAATAAACTAAAAAATAAGATTTATATAAAATATTTTTTATCTTCACTCTTAAATAATATAATACTATTAAGTATACCAGATCATAAGTCTTTTGCAGACTAATACAAGATTCGATTATCAATAATTATCAATTAATTATCAAGAGAAAGAATTTTTCTATATCATCTTCCATTTATCAACCATAAGATTTTATTCTACTTCCTCCTTTTCTTTAACTCTCATTTAAGATTCTTTTCAAGAGAGTGCAACAAATTTGTATTACGTGTATTGATTGGTACCTTAAACCTTAATTAATTTGTTAGGTTGATAAAAAGTAGTTAAATTTAACCCAGATAATAGAAGGAAGAAACGTGGAAAACAATTTGCATATTTAAAAACTATTTTTTCGTTTAATTTCATCGATAAAGTAAATTAATTGTATTTAAATTTAGGCACTTAATTAATTAATTGGATATTTATTTAATTACTTTTCTTATTTTACCACAAAGAAGTGTTTGTTTTTTTTTAACAAATAGAGAAAGGAAAAACACAAAGTGCTACTCGCAATGATAGCGCGTGGAAGCTGTTTTGACGCCCATTGCGAGTACCCCCCAAATCTCTAAAATGTGAAAACCCTAGACATTTCATCTCCCAATCAGAAGCTTCGATCTGAATAATCGGAGTTTCACCGGCGATGAAGCTCCTTGAATCGAAGAAACGAACAGACGCGCAGCCAGAGTCATCTGAAAATCCTTCGGACTCCGTTCCTCCAAACAAGAAAACTAGGGGTTTGCCGAACTTGACTGAATGCCATGCTTGTGGCTTCAAGGTTGACGTCTGCACCGGTAAGAATAGACTCCGAACCCTTTATAGCGAATGGCGTGTAGTTCTTCTATGCAAGAAGTGTTTTTCTTCCGTTGAATCTTCCCAAATTTGTTCCTATTGTTTTTCCGGAACGTCTCTTGAATCGTATCGTTGCAATAAGTGTCAGCATTCTGTTCACAAAACTTGTTTCTTGAAATACAAAAATGCTCCTCCGTGGTCCTACGCTTCTTTGGGCTCTGACTTTTCTGTCTGTGTGGATTGTTGGATTCCTAAACACCTGGAAATTTCTAGAAGAAGAAAAAGAAGAGTTATGGGTGGGGAGAATGACAGGGTTATTCTAGAGAAGGGTAGTTCTAGGGTTTTGCCGGGTGGACATTTGGTGAGATCAATGGAGGATTTGGTTGAGGATGCAAAACGTGAGGTGGAGGAGAAGGTTGAGGCAGCTGCTAGGGCTAGAGAGGGGGCAACGAAGAAAGCTTTGGTGGCTAGAAGGGCTGTTGAACTTGCAAACAACGCTTTGAGTTTAGTAGGAAATGGGGAAGAGAGTAGTTTGAATCTGCCTCCCAAGATGGATGCTTTTAAAGTTCTTGATGGCTCTGAGTTGACTTTTGAGTTGCATCCTCATTTAAATAGCTTACCGAGGATTTCAAAGAGTTGCTGCTTATTGAATACAAGTTTGTTGGATATTCCAAAGCGGTTGGCTTCTAGCGTTGATTCGTCGTGCAAGACATCAAACTCAAAGAATGATGGCGATCGTGATAAGCATGAAGTGTCATGTGATGATAAGCTATTGGCGTACTCTTGCAAATCTTTATGTGAGCCTTTGGTTTCTGTAGGAACTTTGGATAGTGGTTCTTCAACTGGTCTGAATCTTCTCTGTATAGGAAGAAGTGGAACGGAAACTGGTTCAAAAGATGGTGAGCGCACAGCTGAATCTGATGGTGAAGGGGTCGGGGAAGAGCTACAGAAGGAAGGGGAGGGAAGCTGTTCTGATCGGTTGATAAACTTCAGTGAAGATAGTGGCGTGGAACTTGATCGTAAGCATGCAGATTCTGCATTGCATAGAGAGAAGCGTTGCAATGGGCAACCAGATCGCTATTTCTTGAAGTATAGTAGAAGGAATTGTAGTTTAAAATCAAACCTAGATAGTAAATAGGAAGCCCAAAATCTGTTAGAATGAGTTAGGGTTTACTCGAATATTGGGGTTCCATATCAGTCATTTAATGTTCACTTGTGAAAATGGATACTTTAGAAGCCATCCAAGGGGGGAACAGGTATAGACAGTTTTTCTCTCTGTTTTAGTTAAAACCTAAACAGCTGAAGGCCTTTGTTAGTTTTTATGTCCGTTATCATTTTTGGCATTGTATTTGTTCTTCTGCTTTCTGTTTGATCTATGGAAAAAGGAATGAAGATTTTGTTTAAGAAAGTTGAAGTTGACTGGAAAAAGGAATAATGATGAGAACTAATTTCATTAATGAAATATTGAAATGATAAGCTATACATTGCTTTCTATAGTGCTTGGAAGCCTGGAAATAGTATTTAATGTTACACCTGTTCATGTTTAACAGGGATTTCAAGGAACCTATTCCGTAATAGATTTTTCTCCTGATTTTTTCCGTCTTATCTATCAAATCATTTACTCATCTTTTTACTTGTTTTTCATGCTTTGGGAAATATTGCAGACTGTATACCCTGTGATTACCCTCTGGGTGACCTTATAAAATGTTCAAGTAGGGTTTTAGATGGTTAAGATTCAAGATGAATCCAATATTCTAAAAGTTATATCATTTTGATCTGGCAGCTTTTCAACTTCAGAACTTTTTATCCTGATATCCTCAATTTGGTACCATGGAAAGAGAGTGAGACAGAGAGAAAGAGAGTGGAGTGTGAGATGTACTTAGAAGGAAAGGAGTAGAAACGGTAAAAATTTTAGTGGGCATAGATAAGTTTTATGAAAAAATTGACTTCATAAGAGAATATTCGAGTTTTATAATACGACTCTAATTTTAATTTTAATTATATTAAAATCATGTGTTTTATAAATATAATTTTTCAAATTATATAAAATTCATGTTTAAAAAGTAAAATTAGGTTTTCTTTTTTTCTTTTTCTTTTTTTAATTATTTTCATTCTATGTACGAGTGAGATTGGTATGACAGGGAATTGGATTTGGTGGTGGGAAGGGGAGTTTCACAATACAAAGGTCCGTGGCATGTTATTTGTCCCAGCCTCTGGATTGCAGCAAGCCGGAATAGAAAGCCCAACTCCTTCACGACTTGGGCTTTTTTTTTGTAATTTTTTTATAAAAGTTAAAAAAAAAAACCATATTACACAACACAACATGAACATAAAAGTAAAAAAAAAAAAAAAAACTTTAACATGCAAATTGGAAAGAATAAAAACAAAATCGGTATCGAAGAATTATACTTAGAATTAAATCTTATTAAATATAAAACGATTTAATAATTTTTCTATTCAGTATTAATGTTTATTAAACATAAAATAATGTTACAATTTTTTAATTTACGATTAAAAATATATATCATAAGAAATATTATATGTTTATAAATGCTACTTATAAAATCACAAAAATATGTATAAATAATATTTATAACAAGTTTCACAGTCAGAGATAATCTTACATACAAAGGTACAATATCAGAATTTTTTTGTCCACTTAAACATTTGTTGTTTCAATACACTATAATTACCTCTATAAAACTTTCAATATAATTAGATAATATCTATATAATTTTCATAGTGCATGTAAATGATGTAGCGATTGATAACAGTCACATGATTTTTTAGAAGTTAAAGAGGATGTTGACATCTTATTTTTTATTTATTTAATATATATATATATATATATTTAAATATTTTAATTTTATTTTACATAATATTTTTACACCTTTAAGTAATGATCACGAGTAAGTAATTGAGAGTTTAAATAAAGTCACGTTTATCTTCATTCGTCTACATTTGTTTATAAGAGAATATAATAATGTATAAGAACATTTTTATTTTTAAACAATTTGGATAGAAATGATAAGTTGACAACTGTGATTAAACAAAATAAAATTAACCAAACGACCTAATATAATAATATAATAACAAATATATTATATTATTATATAATGTTGTTTAATGGATATTTTTGCCAATTTAGACTGTTAAAATATAATTATTCATAATTTTTTCCTTGTCACATCATATAATTTATCTTATATTTTTCTTCTCTTCCTAAGTGTCTTTGAATGTCATCTAATATATAAAATGTTCATGAAAATACTTTCTTTACGAAAATAGTTTAACAAATATTGAGTTTGAATAGGAGGTTGTAAAGTTTATGAATTTGATAACAAGCCCTTGCAAGAATAAAATGCAAACAACATAAGTATATCTACACTTATGCAGTCTCGTGTGGAATAGTAACATCTTTATACTGATATGCATGTGACTATATATATATATATATATATATATAATATGATAATAATATAACATTATTTAAAATAAAATTGCCAACTGATTATATGCTAAATAGCATGTTGTCAACACATATTTTCCATAAAACTTTGAATAGAGAACTCTAGTAAACTTAAAGATGGTATAAAGCTACTCTGATGAAGATAGACCACAGAAAACAATGTGTATGCAGTGACTGACACCAAGTCAAGTGCTGGCATCGATCAAGTTTGCAAGACAAATATTGATGCTTGATATTTGTGGGTTAAAGCCTTGAAGTGGATAAGGATGGTTGTATAACGCACTCTTCTCTATATCCAGTAAATAGAATCAATCAACTGAGACGTATTCAAATTTAATTTAGAGCAAGTGGCACTAAAATAAGACTCGGTTTGTCATATATGACATTCATTTACATGTCTCAATTAGAATAAATCTGCTTAAATGCATTTACCAAAATAAAAAAAGAAAACACACAATAATATTATTATACACTACGTTATGTTATAATTGAAATTTTCCTGCTATAAGATTTTGACTTTTTATTACGCGTATTGTTGAAGATAAACTTTAATTCACCTAATCTTTCTAAATAAATGAAGTTGTAATAATTGGTAAACAGAGGTTGAAGTGCGTGCAGCTGAACCATGCAGTTTTTTTTATAAATAAAGAGAAAGGAAAACGATGCAGAATTGACTTTGGTAGGAGGAGAAAAGGAAAAGAGGTCATCACAAGACTCATGCACTGTTGAAACGTGGCCAACTTATTGTCAAGTTGCCCTCTACGATGTGAATTTCTATGTCTATTTATTTCAGTCTCATTTACACCTTTTCTTCACACTGTCATCAAATTAAAATTATCATTTATTCCATTATATTATATTATATATAGAGATCCATATGATAGTGTGCGTGCTAGTATATACACAGTTCCATTTGCAGTGATGGTGCCGTTTGTTTTGTCTCTGTTATTCTTTTCATTTTTAATGGGTTGTTCTGAGGGTCAGCTTGTAGTAGGTTTCTACTCTAACACTTGTCCTCAAGTAGATTCCATTGTTCGAGATGTTGTTAGAGAAGCTGTTCTAGATGATTCCACGTTCGCTGCTGTTCTGCTCAGACTTCATTTTCATGACTGCTTTGTTGAGGTCTTTCTGCATAATATATTACGATTAATATAGTTTGTATTTCTATACATGTTATATGTTGCTATTTCATTTGTTTTTATTAACTGAAATCGTATAATTTCAGGGATGTGATGGTTCAATTCTAGTTGAAAATGGTCCACAATCAGAGAGACATGCATTTGGACATCAAGGAGTTAGAGGGTTTGATGTGATAGAAAAAGCCAAGGCACAATTGGAAGGCTCTTGCCCTGGTGTGGTTTCTTGCGCAGACATAGTGGCATTGGCAGCCAGAGAGGCTATTGTCATGGTTCTAACTCACTTCACTTCATTATCATCAGTTAATTCATGTATTTTCTATTATTGCTGATATTTCTATATTCGAAGAGTACTGTAATGGCCATCATTGATTGAATAGTTTGTTCTTGTAAGCTGCTAAACAATATATGTTTATATTGGATGATATTTCATATGAATGTAGGCAAATGGACCAGCATATCAAGTTCCAACAGGGCGGAGAGATGGGTTGGTTTCAAATCTTTCGCTTGCAGATGACATGCCAGATGTTAGTGATTCAATTGAGCTACTCAAGACCAAGTTTCTGAACAAAGGTCTCACAGTGAAAGACCTTGTTCTTCTCAGTGGTACTATCTCTTTCTCTCTCTCACACACACGAACACATACATCTTTGTCATGCTGAATAGATGAGATCACGGTTGTTGAAGAGGAAAAATAATATGAACCTTGGTAAAAAAAAAGCAAATTGAAAGACATGGGGCCAAATTACCAAACATATAATATGAAACCATTTCGGTAAATGTGATACTCCACTTTAGAATACAATGAAAGCAGTTGAAGAAATTTGTACCAAGTTGGGGAACTTATGTTGAAGTCCTAAGAATTATTCGAAGAGAAATTCTAATTATAGCAAAATGTTATCATATTATTTTTACATCAAAGAAGTAAAAAATGATGAAGAAAGAGATAGTGTAATGAAAAAGAATAAATTATTGCATGAATTTGTTTTTTTATAAACATGATATCTTTTGTTTAAATATATGATATGAGATCATCATATTTTACGAAATCTCTTCCGATTCTGACAATTTTCCACGGTTCAAGAAACCTTGACATAACAGCTACCACTTTTATTTATTAATAAAACTACAAAGCAACAGGGGTCTTAGTACATAAGATTCTGAAAACTTGCATATATTCCATTCACCTGTTTAGCATAATGTTTGAGAAAAGGATCTATCACGTTTTCTATTTGATCGATGTGTATATTTGAACGATAAATGATGCATGAGAGAGCTCTTTGGCTTAATTATTGTCTTTAAATCAAATTCAATCAGATATTGTTTACTGATAATGAAAATACGATAGTTAAAAAATCAGGTGATATTTAATTTACTGATAATGTAAGAGTAAGATGCCATTTGAATGGTCTTACTCTGTGTGCCAGCTTTCATTTCATATTTTTTAATACTTAGCTTTGGTTTCATTGGTTTGGTTTCACCTAATTCATTGACCGCTTAAAGTTTCGTATTAAACCCAATGCAAAATCGTGGCAGATGACAGTTCTTATATTACAAATGGTGCACATGCAGCGTTACAGTTGCAATGCATATTAATTGATATTGATAGAGATATGCTTGCTTGTCCCTTTTGTATTTTTGTTTTTTATGTTCTGATTACTTGAGAACCTAGATGTTCTGAATTTATGGTAGATTAGCTAGGTGACTCTCATGACAGTGACAAATATATGTAAGCCAAAGTAATAAGCAAGTAAAGACAACATGCTTAAGTATTCCATTAGGCTAAACTGGTGCACAGAATGAAAAATACTAAATTGGTTAAGGCTTGTTGTTCATGTATTATTGTGGTTTTTGAAAATAATTTCAGGTGCACATACAATTGGAACCACAGCATGCTTCTTTATGACTAAAAGATTGTACAACTTTTTTCCAAGTGGTGGGGGATCAGACCCAGCAATTAGTCCAATTTTTCTCCCACAGCTGCAGGCAAAGTGCCCTCAGAATGGGGATGTTAATGTTCGGATACCAATTGACGAAGGGAGTGAGAAGAATTTTGACGTAAACATTCTGAAGAACATAAGGGAAGGTTTTGCTGTGCTAGAATCTGATGCCAGACTCAATGATGACATAGCCACCAAGAATGTCCTTGACTCTTACTTTTCTCCCTTTGGCCCAGTGTTTGAGCCTTCTTTTGAAGCTGATTTTGTTGATTCGATTGTGAGGATGGGCCAAATCGGAGTCAAGACAGGTTTCCTTGGAGAAATTAGGCGCGTGTGTTCATCATTCAATTGAAGTAAATACGCAATCAGTGATCAATTGATCTATGGCTTCTAATTTTGTTATTTTTGAAATGGAAGGTTTCTTCTGCTATATATTCTTATTTTGTCTTATCTGTTGTTTTGTGTATTTCAACTTGTTAATGGGCACTTCTTTTCTGTAGAGTCCCACATCACTTGTTTGTTTGGTTGGGCAACATGTCATCAATTTTCAGCTGTTTCGATTGAGTGTGATTTTTATTAAGAATCAATTTTTATGTCAAGAATAATTGTTTATAGGATTAACTTTTGAGTTCTTAAATATTGAAACATCACAACGTTAAAATTGTAGTAGTTTTGTAAAATGGATGTGATATTTGATGATGAACATTATATGATGAAATTAAGAGAATAAGATATAATAGAATAAAAGCAGGATAAATTATAATCATACACAAATATTTAGTCTACATATAATATATTAAATAACATCATAATATAATGTAAATTATGTTTAAATGATAATTTTACATTAATTTTTTAAAATGAATTTTAATTTATATTTCTTAAAAATTATGGAAATGATTAAAAAATACAATTTAATTATTACACTATATATAAGATTTTATAATTATAATTAATATTTTAAAAAAATTTAATTTTAACATTTTAAAAATAATATGATTTTAATTAATGTGTCAAAATAATTACAAAGATAAATACAAATACATATAGTATTTTAAATACAAAATTGCTATATATGTTATTGCATAAACATCTTATATACATACAAATAAACAAAAAATAAGTGTCACATTTTGACCACATTTGGGTTCCACTGATTCACAAAGCTGGCCAAACCAAAGGTGGTTAAACGTGAAAATGTTTTGTTCAGGATGGCGTTTAATTTAATATGATAAATAATTGGCTTGTGAACATTTTTAAGTAAAAAGTGGGAAATTTTAGCCGTCAAGTTGGCTGGCGTTGAAAAGGTCAAAGGGTGATGAGAAAATAGAAGCTATACATTTCTCCTACCAAATTGTCAAAGACCAGTAGAGTCCAATTGGTAAGAGAATGCATGCAATAATATCACTACATTTCCTTTGGTTCCCACGTTTCTGTGCTACGAAATCGGGGAATGCTTAGCCAATTTGAGCGTAGGTTGTAATGCTTGACGACAGAAGAACAGAAGAAAGGGAAGAAGAATCAAAGGACGGATAGAAACAACTATATATCTATCTTTTCCTTCCTCATCCACTTTTTTTTTTTTTTTTTTCATTTTCCTCTGACAACATCTGGCATGAAGATCTCAACAAATGCAATATTTAAACATGCCAGAGATTATCCATAAACATTTGTGATCACGCCACAATAATTTTTCGTTCACAAATCTTAATTACTGCCCTTTGTTGCTCTCTAGGCAGGTAGGATTCCATCATCCCTTATTTCTAAAGCATCTTCCCCCACTGATATATCATAAGGAGGTTCATGTTGCGTACAAGTTTATGCATGAATGAAAAGGTATCACATTTGAAATACAATGTTAAGATCATGACAATTGATTTGCAGGGTGTAGCAAATTTTGAACAAAGTTGAAAAGATTTAGGAACCAAACAAAAGGTGAGGAAATTAAAAGAATATCTAGGAGGTAAGTAAAGTAAAGAATGCCACCGAGCTCAAAACTGAGAAGAGCCCTTGGGGCAGTGAAGGATCAAACAAGCATAGGGCTAGCAAAGGTGGGAAGCAGCACCTCACTTGCAGACCTTGATGTGGCCATTGTGAAGGCAACGAGGCATGATGAATACCCAGCTGAAGAGAAGTACATAAGGGAGATTCTGAGCCTGACATGTTACTCTCGAGCATTCATAAGTGCATGTGTTAACACCCTTGCAAGGCGTCTCAACAAGACTAAAAGCTGGACTGTGGCTTTGAAAACTCTTATTTTGATTCAAAGGCTGCTATTAGAGGGTGATCCTGCGTACGAGCAGGAAATTTTTTTCTCAACTCGACGCGGGACTCGCCTTCTGAACATGTCTGATTTTCGTGACAACTCGAAATCTGGTTCATGGGACTTCTCTTCGTTTGTGCGGACGTGTGCACTGTATCTAGATGAAAGGCTTGAGTACAAGATGCAAACCCGGCGTGGGAGGCGTAGCATGTATAGTTCTGATGAAGATGAGGAGGAAAAAGATAGAGAGAGTGAAAAAGAAAAAGAAAATGAAAAAGAAAAAGAAAAAGAAACGTTTGTAAGATCCACACCTGTGCGTGACATGAAGTTAGAGCAAATATTTTCCAGAATGCAGCATTTGCATTTGCTGCTTGAGCGCTTTTTAGCTTGCCGACCTACAGGTTTTTTAATTGTAATTATTGGATGGCAATATTTTCCTTCCAAAATTCCTCAACTATTATCTTGCATCTTCACTAAACATGCTGTGTGTGTGCACATCAATCAGTTCACATTCTTGTTTAAAGATGCATCACTACCATGAATAATGTTTACACCTTATACACGCATAAAGCAATCTTATGGTTATGGTTATTTCAATGCTACAGGAGCGGCAAAGAACCATCGAGTTGTGATAGTGGCTCTCTACCCGGTTGTGAAGGAGAGTTTTCAGATATATTTTGATATAACAGAAATAATGAGTATCTTAATTGAACGGCTCCCTGACATGGAGGTACAAGAGTGTGTTAAGGTGTATGACATTTTCTGCCGAGTTGGGAAGCAATTTGATGAGCTAGACCTCTTCTATGCATGGTCCAAGAACATTGGAATTGCACGCTCTTCTGAGTACCCTGAGATTGAAAGAGTCACAATGAAAAAGTTACAGGTCATGGAAGAGTTTATCAAGGACAAGTCCGCCTTGGCACAATGCGACAGACCTGAACTACAACAATATAGTAATGAAGAAGAAGAACAAGAGGAGGAGGAAGAAGTAAAGGAACCGGAACCAAAACCAGAACCAGAAGAGGATGCAACGAAGGCACTACTGCCACCAGAGGAAATCAAGGAGGAAGCGGTTGAAGAAGTGAAAGAGGAGCCAAAGGAAGAAAAAATTGTGCAGACAGAGGGTGATTTGTTGAATTTAGGGGATGACGCGGTGTCAAGTGAAGCGCATGGAGATAAACTAGCCTTGGCCTTGTTTGATGGAGCACCAGCAGCAGCAGCAGGAGGAGGTGCCACACAAGCACTTCCATGGCATGCATTTGATGAAGAGGAAGATTGGGAAACAGCACTTGTGCAATCAACAAGCACTTTGTCAAATCAGAAGCCTACATATGGGGGTGGCTTTGATACGTTGTTGTTGGATGGGATGTATAAACAAGCAGAGATGAATGCAACGATGCAAGGAGCAGGGTATGGGGTGAGTGGGAGTTCTAGTAGTATGGCACTTGGTTCAGCTGGAAGGCCTTCAATGCTAGCATTGCCAGCACCCGCAACACCAGGGGGTGGAAGTGATTCCAATTCAGATCCATTTGCAGCTTCATTGGCTGTGGCACCTCCTTCTTACGTGCAAATGTCAGATATGGAGAAGAAGCAGAGGCTTTTGGTTGAAGAACAGATGATATGGCAGCAATATGCAAAGGATGGCATGCAAGGACAAGCAGCACTCGAAAAATTGCAATCTAATAACAACGGAGGCTATCCACAAAATTACGGCAACTATTATCGTTGACTAGGACAGAGGACATGTTTTTCACTTTTATGGATTTGTCCCTACTTTCCTCTAACTCTTTTTCCTTATTCTCATCCCATCCCATCCCATTAGAAACACTTGTTTTCAATCTTTTATTGGAATACGAGTGAAAAACACTAAAGATTGATAATGCTAGGATTCCTTACACTTGTTTTCTTTCTTCCCCCACTTCAGAAAGCTAGTAGCTAATCATTCCTTCGCGTTATTCTTCATTAGACACATTAAATGTTGCTAAGAGTAGATTACTATTAATAGCCCCCTTTTTTTTCCAGAATAAGAAAACCCCTACCCAATTTACACGAACTGAATTTTAATTAATTTGTTAAGTTTTTAAAAAAATACAACTTGATGCAAACCTATCCATAACATAATTATTCAATAACTTTATTCTTTGCTACATCAATGTGTCAATGAGTTTAATTTCAATTTAATAAACATGTCACCGCCTTTTAGTTCCTTAAGATTAGGTATTTCAATTGAATTTAATATTATGTTTGTTTGCCCTTAATGATATAAATCCTATCAAATCAATATCACTGTACATTTAGTTAAGTCCATTATTTGTACAGAAAAAACAAAATACACAACTAAACTAAATTTAGCTTGATTTTTTTTCTTTACAAACTTTATCAAAATTTAAGATTCAAAATTAAAAAATCAGTCATTAATCACTCAACGTTTCTTGATTTCTTCTGTATCTCATTTTACGATTCAATTCAAGCTTACTTTTCCTCTCATCTTCTAAAGGTAGAAGGATGTTGAAGGAATGCAAACAAGTGCTGTCATTTTAATTCGGACCATAATTCCACCATGGTTATATAAGTATCAATTAACGATTCTGCAGATAGCTAGAAATATGTCGGAGCAACGAGTTGGGAAAAGGAGTTATAGATTTGTCGACCAGACCGCTTTATTGTATCATTAGGTCATTCTTTTCTAAACAACCAAATCACACTCATTAATATCATATCATATATACATTGAATTAATATCGTATGTTTGTTCTTAATTTAAACTAAACAAACGATTAGAACGTCTAACCTAAAAGCCCGATATTAAAATTACTGCAGTTTAATATCATTATCCATTATAAAAATTCTACACTCAATTGTGAATTTTAACATAAACTAGTAATATTTATTCACAAATTATATTTCAGATAAGTGTACAAACAAACTTAACTAATAGTTGCTTCAGTGGCTTATCATGGTTTGAGACTACTTGAAACCAAACACATTCAAATCAATAGCTACTTAGATAGTTAGACACAATGTAAAAGTGGATGAGGATGTAATACAGCTTCTCAACTATATTACCCCTCATTATGATTTTAGTCTTTGAGTAGAGACAGTTTCAACGCCCAAGAAAGTGTGAGGACACTTTCCGGACTGCACCTCACAACACAGAGTCCCAAAAGAGACAGCTATCCAATGCACCCCCGAATAATTAGGTCACGCAAAAGCAAGAGATTAGAGGAAGCGTGAAATCAGGGAAATTCAAAAGAAGGGAAACATGTAATCACTGATATTAGCTATAGTTTTCATTTCTCAGTCACATAACAAGGTATTGCAAAATAATAAAATATAACTAGCAAATCAATCCACATAGAAACAAAACATTCCAACATTGCAGAAACACAGAAGCTGCAAATCCTAATTCTCAACCTAGAAAAGAGATGTTCCCTTGCCCTTCTTGTCACCACCAATCTCAAAGTGCTTGCACCTCTGCAAAACATAAAAACGAAACATTAGCCACATATATCCCCAGCCCAACAACAAACTAATCCCAAAAAATATGTAATGCTGTCAATATACTGACCTTAATTGGGTGTTGGGAGACATGCTTGCAACCCTGACATTGCAACCTCAAGACAATCTTCTTGGTCGTCTTAGCCTATTAAATAAAATAAATAAATAAAATATTTTTCTGTCAGCAAACAAAAACAAAAGGTCCTAGTTCCTGTGTAGTTATAAATAGAACGCATATACATGAAAAAGAACAAAATGTGTTACCTTCTTGTGGAAGACAGGCTTAGTTTGTCCACCATAACCGGATTGTTTGCGATCATAACGGCGTTTTCCCTGGGCAGCAATGCTATCCTTGCCCTTCTTGTATTGGGTAACCTTGTGCAGCGTGTGCTTCCTGCACTCCTTACTCTTGCAGTATGTCTTCTTCGTTTTTGGAACGTTCACCTATTCACAACAACAATAAGACGAGTACTAAAACATTGTCGGGCATAGCAAAGACCACCTTACCCAAATTCTATACAATAAAGGAATATTCCACAATTTCAAATCTAATTCTCTAAGCTAGGGCTTTAACAAAATTTGATTGATTTCGAAAGATTAAAAAATTCTAAGGCAAATGAGATGGTGATAGTAGAGTTAACTAGTGGTGATAAAGAACAATTGAAGTAGACAAAAGTGGAGGAGAAGGTTACCATGGTGAAGGCGCGTGCGATCGGAATCTGAAGAAGTAGGGTTCTGTTGTGCGCCGCGAAACTGAGGACACGAATGTTAAAGCCCTGCGTTTTAATGACTTTTGGAATTAGGTTTACACGGAGGCCAGACGAAGAGGCTGGACTGGACCGGGCTTTATTTTCTTGGAAAAATATTATTAAGGCCCAATTTGAACCATCGTCCACTCGTCCCTTATCCACACTCTATTTAGAATAGATTTTTGGTTATTTCTGTCATTTTAAGAAAATTAATAAAATCCAAAAAATCACCGTAGATCTTGTATACGTTTTTTTTTTCGTTCGAGAGAAAGCATTTTAGGAAGATAAAGTGTAATAATATAGTTGATAATAAAATTAATAATTTTGATTATATCAGTGAATCAATTTCTTGATAATATATTTAAAATAAAAAATTACTCAAAAAAAAATCTAAATTATTAAAAAATATATTTATTTTAAAGTAACTTTTTAATAGATATTTATTTTAAATTATCCATATGACTAATTTTCATAATTCAATATAATCATGTTAGATTAAATTACTAAATAAAAATTACATTTGACTTATAAATATTTGATATTTTTTAATTAGATGAATAATTGATTTATTATGATAAAAAAAATTAAATTAATTATTTATGTTGTCGTAAATAAAATTATTTATTATCATAATAAATAAAATCATTTATTGTCATCACAATTTTAAATAATTAACATAATTTATTTAAATTTTAATATAATAATTTTAATTCAAAGAATAGTAGGAGAGGAGAGAAAAAGATAAGAGACCCGAGACAAAAGAGATAAGAGGTAAAAAAAAAACTAAATATAAACCATAAACATATCTATTTAAATAAATGAATTAATATAGATTTTAATTGAGTAATTTTTCTTTTGAAATATATTATTTATAGAATTGGTTCTGTATTATTCTTTGATTATATTAAATATATATTTAATCTTTGTATGAACCATGTTGTTTTATTTTATTTTATGTTTTTAAAGTGTATTTTTAACTCTAAGTTTGATGAGTCAAATCCATTTTTTTCAAATTTAGTTTTTATGTGTAGTTAGAAAGTTTAAATATATTTTCAGTTTGGTGTAAAATGAGTAAATTTTGATTTTTTTTTGTCATTGTAATTTTTGTTTTATTTTTTCTTTAAAATTGGAAATTACTATTTTTTTTATCTGTAGTATTATATGATATTAATTAACTACTTATCTATTAACAAAATTTCAATTATTATTCGGCGTAACACATATTTAGTTGTAACATAATCTCCGCATGTGTGACCCAAAAAAATATTAAAATAAGTAACATTATTATTATTCATCTTTTAAAAAGTAAATACTATATACTAAAAACATATTTTTAAAAATTTAATGGAATGAAAATGAAAAAAATATTTAATGTGCACCAAAACTAAAATACATACTTTAAAAAAACATAAAAAAAATTAGAAGATTTTATTAAAAAACGCTGTAAATTTGTATTTAAAAACTGACAAACCTCCAAAAACACATATAAGGTAATCGAAAAGAAATTGTTGTATGTCTTATTTTAATTTAAATACATATTAAAAATTTCAAGACACGTAGTTGCAAAAGACGCATAAACTAATGATTTTAGGTTTGACATGATTCGTGTTGGTTTGATGTAAATGGTGTAAAAGACAACTCAAACACCCTCCATATATTGCTTTAAATTGACGTGGGTTAATATTTCCTTTCTGTCCAGTGTAAAAGAAAAAAACAAAAAACGAATGTTTTTACTCTTCGTTAGACATCGTAAAAAAATATCCTAAGTTGAACTTTAAGAATAAAAATAAATATTTTATTATAAATTTTATAAATAAATTATTTAAAATTTAGTCAACACAGTTTAAATATAAGATTTACAATAAAAATATAAGATTTACAATAAAATATTTATTTTTATTTTTAAGCAATAGGAGAAACAATTAGTAATTCCCTTCGAAGACATGCAATGAACCCAAAGACTTCTTATCATGTGTAGTAGAATAAAAAGGATAAAAATGGTCTTAATTAAAATGTTAGATTTACAATGCCATGATGTGTCCACAGTATCATTTTACTAAGTCGAGGCGGTCATGGACTTGCACCAAAATATTAAATGGTATGACCTTGCACCACAATATTCACCAACTATGCAAATGTCAATATGCAAATTGCTTTCATTATGTCACCCCATGCGCATCATATACTCAATCTAAAATTATAAATCATTAAACAAGTTATGAGGTTATGAAATGACTTATAAATATGTTCATGCATCACCTACTTGATGAATTTGTCCATGCATTACTCTTTTCAAGAAAAATGGATTTCTACAAGGCTTACTTTTCCCAGATTTCTATACATAGATCTAATTAGGCAATTCTAACATGGCCACTAATAATGTTGAAAAAGATTTAATCTACACATTGGGGGAAGATCTTAGCTTATGTTGTTTTTATCATTAAAAAAAAATCAGTATTCAATTTCAACATTTCAAGTCAACCCAATGTCAAGACAATTTCCTCGTGGAGACGCCCAATCTCATCCCAACAGAAACCAAGGTCTCCAGTGATCTGGTGCTATTCGCCAGAAGATCGTCATCAATTGCAATTGAATTCTGCAGAGCCAAAAAAAGTAAAAGATGTCACTGCGTGCATATATTCCAATCTCAAACTTAAGCTAAAAGCTCTGTAAAGATGAAGTCTCCAAAATGGTAATAAACAGAACTACGTAACTCCAAAAAGGACATTATTCTATATCATCATTGTAAATTGTATTGCGTTAACTATAACTAAAAGAATTGAAATGGTGGACTTCAGTAATGGCGTTTTCTCAATTAATATAGATTACATTTTAAAAGTCTCAAATTCAAACAGAAATAGTTATTACGTGTTAACTGGCTCTATACTCGAATCTATTTTTACCATCAAATTATTAGTTACTATACTCGGTTTCTTTAAATAAGGTATGAGTTCAAGTCTTGTAAATTAAAATAATATAGTTAAAAGGGGAGACTCCACTAAATATGGTGATCGGCCATATTTTCCGGTAGAGATACTTATCGACTAAACAGTGGATACTCTCCCTGTCTACATCCTACTGTAATTTCATTTATCTATTTACCAGCTGAACTGTTAATCCATCAAAACTAAAATTTTTCATTAAAAGCATGTATAGCAAGTGAGAACACATCAATCTCCATCATTATTTGTTTAATCCTATAAAAAATTGAATTTTAAAAAATCAAATATGGCATCACCCGTCAATGTCGATATCAAATTATAATTTTTGGCCCTACATAAAATAGAAATGCCAAGAAGCATGCATGCGGAACTGCATAAATATGTTTATACTTTGATTCAAGTGAAAATTTTTGGCCTTATAAAGGCTTTTATAGCCTTTGGCTGATAGTTTTTCTTCAAGTAATAATGTCATGACCATGAAACATTCGTATTATATACAATTATAAAAGGTAAATACATATTAGTTTTGTGATTTGGCAACAATAATAGGTGCCCCATAGACAGATCATACCAAACATATAAATCAAGGTCAGCAATATCAGGAATCAAGACCATATCCAACTAAAGAAATTTCAAACATGATTACAATAAGATTAAAATGTTCATTAAAAATATAAATAAGCAGTAAATTCAATAACAATACCAACCTTTTCAAAAACGCAAATTACAGTGCTTCCACCAAATGAGAAATATCCGAACTGTAAATTAAGCACACAGATGCCACTTAGAAAAAAAGACAACATACAAGAAATGAAGAACGGTAACCACTATTTGACAAACCTCATCTCCCTTCTTGACATAGTCTCCCTTTCTCTTTGTAAAAGTAATGCTACCAACCATTGTAGCTCCTATTGCAACAAATGCCACCTGAATTCAAATTGTAAGATACTAGTCAATACAGATCTGCAATTATAAAATGGTAGTAGAGACAGCAAACTATAGGTAACTCAGAAAGCATCCCAGAAACAAATTCAGAAGACTATAGTCCTAAAATAAAAAAATTCAGACACAGAGTTAATTGCAATGACCAACCTTTCCAAAATCTTCTGTTGAAATTATTGAAACAACTCTCTTGTTCTCCGTGAAGACATTACAGTACTTGCTATTTACAGCAATGGGATTGACCTGGGGAGTACAACGCAGTGAGGAAAAATACAAATGTGAATTAACAGAAAGAATATATATATATATATATACACACACACACGCACACTGCGAGAACTTAATGGTTATATACAGAGTGTAAAACAAATTTATATTGTCAACCAATAAAAAATCACCATGATGAATTGTAAGGTAATTACAGTAAAAACCAACAAACTTACCATTTGTGATTAGATGAAGAAAACTACTACTTTTCAGTATCAGTGCATATAACCATTTTCTCATAACATATATATATATTTTCCTCAAGTTATTATTAAACATACAGTATACAAGCATCCGGGGATATCTACAAATTGCTCAACAATTCCTGATACTGGAAAATGGAAACGGTGATAATCCTGTAATAAATATATGTTAGAATTAAAAATTTGAAATCGAATTATATAAAAATTAAAATGACTTTGAAAGAAACCAACAAATACCTGTGGTGCCAAACGGAAAATCACCATTGTTCCATCAACAAAAGCATTGGAAGACATATCTTTTCCCAAAAGACCTTGAACCGAAAACTTTCGACCCTAAAAAGTAACAACAAATAATCACAAAAGCACTTCAATTGGCATACATAAATGAAGTTGAAAAGATTAAACCACAAGAAAATGAGGGATGTCCTAACATTTTAGGGAATCTCATTTTCTTTGCCTCTAGCTGGCAAAACTTTCATCAGTGGGTTTAACATAGTATTATATTATAATAATCTCTTGGAAATAAAAAACGACGAAACGGAAAAAGAACATAAAGAAAAAGCAGTGAACATAGTAAAAATTACCAGTTACCACAAGCAGAATGGTCATTTTACGCAACTAAATTATTTCGTTTGTTGCCTATCACGCTTGATTTCATACAAAACATAAACATGACAAAAAACAAACCTCAGATTGTACTCTCATATTTGCAAAACTATTTCCTCCTCAGACATCTGTTCTAAAGTAAGGTGAGTCAAACAGGCCCTAGTTCAATAAGTAAAGTCACAATTGTGTCATTTTTATTTAATTCCAAGCTGAAAATCAGAAATAGTTTCCAGCTTCTGACTGATTTGAAAATTCCATTGTAATTATATTTAAAAAAAACTGCATTTTCGAGGTCAGAAGTTTTCCATATTCAAGAGTGTAAGAAATAAATGAATTACCTTTATCCAAAATCTTTTACTATCATCAACTGAATTAAATGCTGAAAGACGGCAATCAGCAGCACATACAGCAATGTCATCACGTTCAGCAGAAGCAATTGGTCTAGAACCAGGCTTTAATTCTCTTATGAAAAATTCATTGAATGTCTGCACAGTGCATAATTTAAGACAGGTATTAATATTATGTGATAAGATAATCACTACCATTTAAAATCCTACATTCTTTTACAGGCATTGCTCTGAATTTTCGTTCATCTTTACTCTAATTGTTTGTACAACCAAAAATGTATATTGCTAGCTCAATGGAAAACAAATTCTTTCAATTCCCTCTTTAATCAATTTATACTGGGATTAATAGACAAGATATATTCAACTAGAAAATAGTAGGGATTCTACAATAATCTAACTGAAACGGTCAGGGTGGAGGGAAGAGGGAAGATTGACATAAGTTGTTGGTTTCAAGACTGGCTGGGAAAAGTAAAATTCAACAAGTTAATATACTTACAGCAATAATCAATAAAAAATGCAACCCACGAAAGCATATGGATTATAGTTAACTAAAGATTTGAAAAATAGCAGAAGTAGATAATACGAAAATTGCTTCTTCATCTTTATGTCAAACATTTTATATCGGGAATAAAAACCATAACCAACAGAAATGTTTGGGGGTTCACGGGAATGAAGGTCATCACATTATTTTAAAAAATAGACACATGGGAGTTGCTACAAAGCATGGCAATACTAAGGAAACACGGAAAAGATTAATGTTTGTTGAAAAAAATGGGCAGCATATAATGCTTAACGTCAATAAAATTAGAATATAAGACTGTATGTATATGATGAAACAACATCAGTTTCAGCATAATAGAACTGAATTGCAAAGCATATTAAATAGCTAACAGGCTCAAAAAGTTCGTTCAGAAGCAATAATGCATCAAGAATAACATATCAAATAAAACTCATTACAAACTTTGGCCCACCTTAAAGTGTTCCAGTGGATAATTGACTTCAGCCAAATTGATTTGATCCTACAACACAATAGTGACATTTATTATGAGAAGGGAATAACTAGAGGAACACAAGTGAAGCACATAAAGAGCTAAAATAAAAAACAGAAAGTGAGCTAGGAAAAAAGAAAGCCACCCTAATCCATTTTACAGAATAACTATTTTGACTCCTCACTGAAATTAAAACCAAAGTACAAAACAATGAACATAATCAGCAAAAAGAAGTTCAAAAATATAACTTTGGAATTTAACCCCAAATACACAGTGACCTTTGCATGATTTTCCAGTGTTGGTGGTGCTTGTATGCATAAACATAGAATTATGTCATTTTCTATTGCATTGTCAATTGGGATGTACTATGTTAATGATTAGAATAATTTCATGCTCTATTGCATTGTCAATTGTGAGTAGTATGGCATATATGATGCTTAATCCTTCAATATTTCATATCATGTTTATAGCAAGAGTGGCTCTTATGGCAAGTTAAAAATGTGAGGTATGGACGTTTTGCATTTTGGACACTGCTACCAGCTGGACTTAAATATTTATATTGTAGAAGGAAAGCAATATCCTTCTGCTTTAAAATACAGAATAATCTTGCAAGAACAAAATGAGTACCTGGGCAGCCTTAGTTACTCTGACCTATCAGTTTCCAAATAAAAGATAGGAGATTTCCTAGTTCCTTGCATTTTATGTTATTGTTATTGTTTTTCTACATTGGCCGCATCTTTTTACTTCCCTTATAAAAATCCCTTATTATGGGTTGTCCATCATTAAACACATACTACTAGATAAGACAGAAAAAGAAGAGAAGATAAGGTATCATCCAAAGAAACCGCAATGCTAAAATATGGGGCACCGTAATGAATGAAACTGTGTTAAAAACTCAGAATCAAGAGGCACTACCCAACTACAAACTTACGTATGTCAAAATCAAAGTATGCAATGCACAAAGAACTCAAAGAAGCATTATTACACCTTAAAAGATTCAATAAATTTTGGAATATCTGCAGACGACTCAGGTGAATCCATTCGCGCTCCCTGCTTTTCTGAAATACTTTGCAAAAGCTCCTTCACCCCTGCATATATATTCACTAATTTAAACACATAACATAACTCGATAAAAAAGGAAAAAATTATTCAAATCCAATTTGAATCTGTTATATTGGCTACAAAACAGGTTTCAAGTGTGACCCAAATATCAAAAGGATTCATTGAACTTATTTATAATCTCCTTACAACACCAAATCAGCTTAAAGAAATGACAGCTAGAAAGTACAGCAATTTTTAACCATCAATACTTTTATAGTATTAACCGTACTAACAGCAACATCTCACCAACTGCCACATGGCCCACAATAGGGAGTGGTGACCAGTGATTGGTGAAGCTACATATAAATGTAGCCCAAGTGCTTCTTTCAATTATTATTAATAATAAAAGAAACTCGTACCAATGTCCATTAAGCCAAGACCTATTTTTGACTGATAAATGGCTCTCATTGACAAAACAATCTTTTTGTCAATTATTTCTTCAACAAGCCTCTGAGACTTTCGATCATATACCTGGTGTCAAAAAAAGGTAATATTAATAACAAGTTGAGAGGGTCAACAGGTACAAATCCAGGTTTAAGACTACCAGAACTGAGCCATTTGAATTGGACTTTGATCATATTTCCTAATTTCTATATTCTTTTATAATTATAATCCTAATCCTTATTGCAGTACAGTTCCTAGTGACTCCCATACCTATAATTACATTTCCAGTAAACCAACACCCTAAGATTTGTCAATTCCTAACTCCCATACTAAGAAATTACCCTCCCTATTTGTGCTACTACGGCACCCACCACCAACATCCCAACCACCGACCCTACCACCATTACCCCACTTCCCATCCTCTCCCCGCCCTTTTACAACACCAATGCTGCAGAATTAGGAATTTGGAACGCCTATTATTTGTATAACTCAAACAAATGAACAATCCATAATTCTAATAAATGACAAAATTGGAATAAAAATTAAAATTCTAAACTAATATTCCAATTCCATCATCCAAAGATATCCTAAGGATTTCTCTATTTCATTGCCTTGATGGAGATGTGTAGAGATGTTGAGCCAATACAATTCACATCTTCAATACTTTTAGAAATGTTAGGCAAGACAAACATTGATATTTGGTAACAGCTGAAAAGGGTGCTAGGTTGATTTATAGTAGTAAATAAGATGGAAGCCTTTGTTTTAACTATGGTGGATGTGATGGCGCAAACTCGGTCAATAGTAATGAAAAAAAGAAATTTCAAAGAGGTCTGGCATCATGATAAAACTTAAACATAAAGTTATCTCTAATGTATCACAAAATTGTACTTCAATTGTTAAATAAAAAGAAAAATGAAGTTGGTGGAAATATCGTATACCAGGATATGGGATGCACTTGATCCAGATCGAATACCAACATCATAGGTTGAGAAATGGGCCCATTCGCTCAGTTTGAAGAACCACCTATATAAACAGAAAAATAACAAGTATTTTTTTTTCTTGTGATACAAATCATAAATACATAACCATAGTCCATAAAACTGGGCTATAATCCATTAGGTCTAAAGATGATGCTTTCTCTCATACCCTGCCTTTCAATAATGCCTAAATTAGCAGCAATTTGCAGAAATTTACCCATACGAAGCCTGCTTATCTGTCAAGAATCCTCCAGTCATCACCTGGTTACCACTCCCTTCGTCAAAACAAAGAGTTAAGTGGATCATGCTGTTCAACCGGTCAGAAATATGAAGAACCTCGCCACACACAGGACAGCAATTCATTAATGGTTCCCTGCAATACAGATGCAAGCTAAGCAAAATAAGAATCAAACAAACAACAAACTTCAAACTTCATAGTAAGTCAAATACATTATAATTTTTAAATCATCAAATCATAAAAAATGATAGAGATACCAGTTAAATTACTAAATACAGTCACACTAACACCAAAAGACAACAACAGGCATACAAAATCAAAATTTTTATCTCTTGAAATTTAGAAGGGTCATTACTGTTCTTGCTGAGAAGTAAGAAGGGAAGCCAACTCGTCCATGCTCACAACACCATCTCCATTCTTGTCAGCTGCTTTGAACAGCTCTTCTTTCTGTTGAAAAATAACGTATTGATGATAGAATAAAACTTGTACATATCAAATTAGTTATTATGTTGTAACTCCATGTCAAGATTCACAGGGTAGGGATTCATTATTTCAACCATGAATCCCATAAGAGCTTGTAGGGCAGATTTGGACTTCGATATAACCACATTGTTCTAAGTACTAACAATCATGATATCATTAGTTTATATCAAATATACAATCTGACAATAGAGGGACAGAAAATCGGAGTCAAAGTTCAAAACCAGGTACACAAGCAAATTAAAGATAGTTTTCAAGGCAAATAATTCATAAATAAAAGGTAATGGAACACATTAACTGCAAAATAACTACTCAGGTATGAACCTTGCTGTTTGCAATTTGATTGCCAAAAGCATCAATTAGGTCAGAAAATTCAGAAAGTGAAAGCGTCCCATCCTCATTGTAGTCCTGCATCAAACATCACTTCTCAGGTTGATATTAAATGTTAGAGGGTGCAACATGAGATCAGTATATTTAAGTTATATAGACAATAATAAATTACATGCTGTGATTTCCATAATGCTTTGATTCCAAATATTCTATGTATTCAACCAGTTATAGCAACTCGTACAACATGTTACGAATGTGTGTTAATATTGGAACAAGGACTCGGTATCAATTAGTGGCAACGCATAGTATCGTATATCAGTACCCTCATTTAAAGGAATGAAAGTTGACATCACCACTTCTTGTGTTAACTCCATATGTCTTTTTATTTAAGCCCCACATTAGGCACATGTTATCAGAAAACAGAGCAAGATCAAACTTACCACTATAGATAGAATACGTCTGACAAAGCCTTTCTCCGTTTCAATTGGATCCTGTTAGTATGTGCTTATTATTGTCAGAAATTCCTATCATTCCCAAACAACATTAGAATTTATATCATAATCCGTATACCTCTACGGAGCATGAAATGGAAATGTTGCCAACCACTTTTCCAGGTGCTGATGGATCTAAAAGGTTCAATACCTCGATGCCAGAATCAGAATCCTGCATGATCATATCATTCACAACCAAAGTGTGTACAATGAATAATGATCAAACAAAACAGAATAAACAAATAAATGAACAATTCTAAAATCTCTAATTTTTCTATGTTTCCTCACCTTGGTCAGAAATTCAAGTAGATCCACCTCACAGTATCCAACAAGAGTATTGCTGGACAGTTTGTTCGTCTACATGAGAAAAAATATATTCAACTTAGATGCAGTATCAAAGGAAAATAATTGCAAACAAATTAGACGACAGGTGATGCAGAATGAAAACAGTTTAAAATTTTAGTCTGTACAATATGTTTTAAAAATAGGGGACACAGATAGAAAAAAATAATTGCTCTTGAAATGCAGCAGATATATCCAAAACGTGCAAGATTCATTTTAATCTCACAAAAGTGACATCTTCCCTCCCCCCCCCCCCAAATGATGTTTTAGGGTAATTCATATTGAAGGAAAGGACTAAAAAGTCCTATTTCTTGTAACATACCTCGAAGACAGAAATTCTTGCAACATGAGCCCCGTTCTGTTCCAAAAGAAGTTTCTTTTCCTGTAAAAGCAAATATCAGTCATATAGAAGAAACTGTTTAGCTGAAATTACTCAAACAGGTTCCACTCAAGTACGAATGGTGCAAGTCTTCGAAACACCCTTTCAGCATACACACTTAATTTGAAACAGTCACGGTTTAAAGTACTCACAGAGTTCCAAACTGGTTTGTCAGTGCTGCGCCACCAATGACAACACAAAATCAATACACGAACTACAAACTAGTAAAAACAAAACAATTGGCGGAGCATAATTGAAAAGTAGTGGTAAAATGAAGAGCTTAACCTGTCAGAGGTGTTGGTACGAAAAGTCTGTTCTCCGAGAGAAACGCACGCAATCCATTTATCTTTGAACTTCATCTCCGCCTGCAACACAGAAGAAGAAGAAGAAGAAGAAAATGCGTTAATTAAGAAAACAGAAAATAGAAGATTAATAAAATAGTAATGTGCGTACGTGAAGGACGGCGAGGAGAGCGATTCCGGCGAAGTTATCGGCGGAGAGAGGCTTGTGAGCAGAAGAGCCATCGCCGTTGCCGCTAGGACGACGGTGAAAGTGACTACGCAAACGCTCTTTGAAGCGAGCACGACGCGACCCTTTTGGTTCCGACAATTTGGAGTGTTCATGACCCATGCCTCCCTCTCTCTCTCTCTCGATTTCACAAATGTTTCAATCGAAGGAAGAATTGGATAATGAAGATGTGGATTAAGTCTGTCAGTTAGCAGGTCCAGCGAGGTTGAGTCCGGAACGGTGACCATTCAGGGATTCACACATATTCCACAATGTACTGTTGAATAATCAACGTTGCTTGCTTTTTTCCAGTGCACTCCACGTAAGCAAAACTACTTTACCCCTTTTAGATCTTGTAATATTTCTATTCATTCACCATTTTATATATCAATAGCACAAGTTTAAGCACCTTGTTTTTAAGAAACCTTTTTCCTTTATTTATTAACCATATGTTCAGGAACAGGACAAGTTCCTTCCGAGTATTTAACTTCAAAATATGATGAATAGGATGCATGCCATGAATCTGCTTCCGGTATCGCTTTGGAGATTCCTTTCTTAAGCCTTGGTTTATTTATTTAACTGTATACTTTTTCTTCTATGCTCTATTATTAATAGATATATTGATACGGTTAAACATTTTTTTTATTTTTAATTACCTCTCTATATATAAATCATTTATTATAAACTGACCAAATATTTTTATCCCGTCATTTATGTCAAAATATAGAATAAATTTCACTCCCATCTTATTTTAAAACATCTTACTATTATATTCTCTTTTTCTTTTGTTAGTGAAAATGCTGTCATATGTTAAGTCAAAGGGAAGTATCACTTTACAATTTAACTTTTTTAAAATATAATGACAATTATTAACTATTTCATGGTAAAAAAACATAAGAAAAATACAGATAGAGGAAATGAGTTGTATTAGTAAAAAGGGAGATACAATTTTTTTTAAATGCAATATAAATGAATATTAAACTTTACAGTAAAAATATTTTATTTTAATTCAAATAAATTACTGTGAATTTTTTTTTATCTGTCATTATTAATAATTTATACAAAATAAAAAAAAGGAAAAATGTAGAAGTGGGCAAATGTAAATAGATTTTACTAGCATACGTGTAACAAATAATTATTTTATAAAAATGATTTTTAGATTTATTTTATTTTATTTCTTAAACATCTCCATCATAACTTAATTTTGTATAAATTCTTAACACCAATGTAATTATTTTCGTATCATTTACAAATGTCATTTTAGCATATTATAATTAAGATGGTAAATGTTTTTTTTTATAACTAACTTTACAATAAATAACTGTTTAGTATAAATGATATTATATCAAAACATATAATATTATATATGATATAAGATTATATAACGATAATTGTTATATTATATTAAAAAATCATAAATTAATATTTTAAAAATATAAATGATATTATTGATTTATGATAAACCATTAATATTATAATACAAATTATATTTAACTGTTTGATCATTTTAAAAAATAAAATTAAAATTTAAACAATAAAGAAAGAATATAAATTGAAAGAGATAAGTTGTTAAGAAAAACTTTGAAATGATTATTGTCTCTTTAAAGTAGTTCTTAAATATGAGTTATTCTCTAAATTATATTTTATAAATTTATTATATATTTTATTGTTCCTATATAGATATTTTTGGTAGATAAAGATAAATACATCCGTGAAAAGATTAGAGGAATAAAAAAGATAAAATAAAAGGTTATCTACTTGAATCCATTAAGAAAAACCCGTGATACTTGAAGTGATATAAATTAACCTAAAGCCAGAATGTAAAGTGAGTGAGGTATTGTTTTTCTCATTGTTCCGAAGTTGGTGATCAACATGAATGTTGTCCTAGTTTTTATAAGTTGTCTTCCCAACTTGGTTGTGCCTACGATGTTGTCATCGTTTATGTCCTTCTATGTTCTAGCGGTCATGTTTTATAATGGAACTGCAAATAAAACATTCTTACTGCTGTGTTGCATGGCGCTGTTCCTAATTTGGTGTTACGTGTTGGTATCTCTCTTTCGGCATTGTGCAGAATTGTTTATGTTAGATTATTACTATGAAAGGGAACAAATGGGAGACATTGAGTCTCTTCCAAATGCAAGGGCTCGAGTTGCCATTGCCAGAATAAGGGCTAACAGGGAACATTGGCAAACCATACAACTACATCCTTTTCCCTGCGAAACACGAACTACTGCTAGGTTAGCCATCAGAGCCTTGCCTCCTGCTGTATCTTTTCGTGATGATCAAACCAGTGAATCTCTACATGATTGTTCTATTTGCTTGGAAAAATTTATGAATGGAGACTCCATTCAACCATTTGGAGTGTGTGTCCATCAATTCCATTCCTCCTGCCTCAACTTGTGGTTGCTCAGAGGAAAATCTTCATGTCCACTCTGTCGTATGGAGTTGCCAATTCCTACCTACTCATCATGAATTTTGTTTTATGTTTATGTTAGAAACAGGCGATTAAAGAGCTGGTTTCTGCAAGATTTATTCAGAAGAAAAAATTCGTCGGAGAGGAACATAACCTGTTATGAAGCATGTAAAATTTCTTAGATTTTATAATATGCATGGATTTGTACATTTCTTTTTTCGTTCAGGTGTTATTCTATGAGAATTACTTTTGCTTATTAGCCGCATTTTGCTGTTACACTTTTTTCATGCAATGATTCGCTGTTATAATCAATTTTGAATAAGTTTTTTTTTTTATAATTTGAACAATATTTTAAACTAGAGAAGATAATAATAATAAGAAAAATTGGAGGATAAATCTCAACAATTTTATTTTTTAAATTTGTTTAATAAAATAATTATTTTTAAGATTGTATTAATTATAGATAAAAAATTACTTGAAATTTGAAATGTTACATTTATATCTATTTTTAAAAAAATGAGAATATAAAGTGATACTCATATTTCTTTGAGAGAAAAAAAACATTTTTCTTTTATAATGTCTAGCTAGAGAAATAATAGAAGAATGGGATATTAGCTTCTTTAAAAGAGAAATAAGTAATTTATTTTAAATAAATAATTCTATAATATGTACATTAGAAAAATATCCTCTATTAAATGTCACACTGATTCATAGTTAATACGATTAATGAAGTAAGTAAATAAATAAAATGTCTAAAGTGCACCTACTTTTGGAGAGAAAAGTGCATAAAAATTCCTTTTTTTATTGTTAGTATAAAAGCAAATGGATTTGTGAGTTGTGTGGTCACTCTTACGTCATCAAAGAGTCTTCGTCTTCATGTTGTCATATTGCGCGTAAAAAAGGTGATGATAGATTGACCCTTTGCTCCATCAAAGTAATTTTAACAAACCATATGGTATATGACATGAAACAAAGTAATATTTTAACGTTGGACTTTGAAGCTTTATCATATTTTGTTCCTTTGTCACACACTTGAACTCCAACTCTATCATAGCACAGAGCACAAGACAGTTTTTTCCACTTATTCTTTCCTCTCTGTGCCCAGTTATGATCACTTAGACGACAAGTTCTCTTCCTATGGCACAGCCAAACTGACATCATTTTTCAATTTTGATTGTCTTCTTTCCCTTTCCATTAATTTTTGTTTGGGGTTGACTTATTCTGAACCTTTTTTGCTGACTTTTGGTGGTTGCATGGATCGATTGGTGTGATTAACTTCATTCGAAAGCTACATAGTATTGGCCTTACAATCATTCTCACTAGTTGCTCTCTCATGCCAATGTTTTGAAAAATCATCATCATGACCATATACCAAGAAAACAAGCAAGCTAAAATGCCAAGATTGTGATACTTGGTACATGTCAAACACCTGCCTTCGCCTTTATGTCTTGATATATACACAAATTTTGTTGCAATCGACCAAAGCTTTATGCACAAGTTGAAAATCAGGCCCATTGAGAAGGTTTCATGACTTGAGCAATCATTATAACGTCCAATTTTGATTTACCATTTTCAACTTTCCACGTCCAATGTTAAGATCTGGGTCTAATTATGTATGTTGAGTAATGGTTTTTGGGTGTTTGAATTTGAAGTAGCCAAAACCACACACCTACTTCTTCTCTCTCTCTTAAAGTCGCAAGCACGGGTGAGATGATTACAATCTGCTTAAGCAATGAAATAGTTGTTGTATGCGTTGTTATTGTAACTTCAAGAAACAAGGGTGTGAGAGAGTTCTTTCGTGAATTGCGATAGACAAGTACTCGTGGAAACAACACAAAGGTCAAAACAGCATGCTTATTAGATGACTATACCACTGATTTTTTATTTATTTATTTTTTTAAGTTAAATATAGTACTAGTTGGTGTAGATCTTCAACATATTTTCCTTACATTAGATTGAACATAGGACAATAATCTGAAATAAACAGTATATATATATATATATATATATATATATATATATATATATATATATATATATATATATATATATATATATATATGATTTGGTTTAATTGTGTGGCCCAAAATTTTCACAAGTTTCAATAATGGTGTCATATCATGTCAATCGTGATATTAGAACTCATGCCTTGTAATGGATCATAGATATTAGATTGGATATGTTGATGAACTGATAAAAAAATATTAGATGTGGATGATAAAGATAAGCACCCCATTTCTTGTACTCATCTGTTTTTGATCCATTTTTTTCCTAATTTACGTGCAGCTTTGTCATTAAATTACAGTGCCCATCATCCTCATAATTATCTCATCTCTTGTAGTGGATATAGGCGAGAAGAGAGACAATGGTCTGTGTGTCACTCTTAGGTGACATTAATATATATACACACACACATATATAATATAGTGGTGGAGCTGGGACATGAAAGCGTGCTAGTGCTTGTGCTTGCATCATACATGACTTGATGCTTCCCTAAGCAGCCACCCATATAATGCAAGAAAAGCAAAACAACAACGACAACACAAAAGGGAAATCCTTCCTTAGCATTGTGAACCAAGACAACTAGCTACCAAATATCATCAAACAAACTAGCCAAAAGCTACACAACTTCATAGTTTATTGCTCAATGCTCAGTTGCAAGCTTCCCTTCCAGTGCTCTTTGGGCTCCACACTAGTCCTCTTCCTCTTCTCACGTTTCATCAGTATATTTATTTCTTCTCTCAACCATCCTTCCACGTGAATTCGAGCAATTAATTTCCATTTCATGTATTCTTTTGACACTCCAATATTCTTTATTCTTTTAAGTCATATCATTTATTATCTTCATATTTTTCAATTCTTTCTCTAGTTGTCTACTTCCATCTGGTATTTATCATCATTTTTCCTTATTAAGTGACATTTCAGGCCAGTTTTGGTTTAATAATTTGAAAATACACTTTTCTTTCCTAAAACTAGCATGTAATGTTATCAAACAATAAAAAGAGTAAGTCACTAACTCTTTTTTATCTCTTGTCAAAATCTCTCCCCCTTCTTTAATTTTAATTATTATCATCATTCCGGATTTGCAGGGTTATTGAACCATATTAATGGCTGCGAATGGATACTGTGCTGACAATTATCCACGTGTCCTTATACAGAAGAAAGGGCAACAAGTACTGAAAGGGGCTATAGCTAGCTCCACGAGTGAGTGGGATCTTTAAAAGCATAACATCATACTACATAATATTGTTTGGGCATGACATGAATATTTTACATAGTGCCCCACTTGAAGGACTGCTATGAAAATCTGGCCAGAGCCACTTCACTGATTACAGTGCCACCTACACTAGAGCTGGTAAATAACATCAACCATTACAAGGGACCATTATTTTAATTAACTATCCAGTTGGATATTGCGGCTAGCTAGCTAGCTAGATCACTTGCATTACCAGCTAATTTGGCAAGCTTATTTCATCAAGATCATCATCCATTGACAAGAATACTTCATCTAAACATGAGAGCTCTGTTCCATTGTCATCCTCTCCATTGCGCTCATAAACACGACATATTACCCATTTATTGTAATCCTGAATCAATCAAGCACAAAAGGAAAAATAAACTCATCAATCAAATCAAAGTGTTGCACAATAGTTTTCCATGTTTACTATATATATGCAAGGCTATATATAATAAGTGAAAATTCATCATGATTACTTAAAAAAGTTTCATGTTTTTTTTTTTTAATTTTAACTATTTAAATATGCTGTATTCATGAATATTTATAGTTTACATTTCATTTGTTTTGGGGTGTTTGTGTCGATATAGATACATGTGCATATAAGTATGTATAGATGTGAACTAACTGTTTTTGGTTTTCTTTTGGATGATCTGGTAGAGGAAGCAGAATCTGATAGACGATATTCTTGCATTATCCAATTGGTTTTGATTCCAGCAGGGGCTTCTCCTACATGAAACACAAAATATTTCTTCATGCCAACTCTCTTGTTGTTTGAGCTTGAAACAACTGGTTCTTCCATTCCCGTTGGTTTCCAATACCCATTGCTAGTGACCGTATTTTGTGTCCTTCTGCTGTAGTAGTACCATTGGTTTCCCTCTTCCAAAGCTCTACCTGACCCATGCATCCACCACCCAAAAGTAATTAAAATGCAACATACAATATACTTATACCTGATTAACCAAAGTCCAATTTCCTAGCTAACTATATATGTATAATTTGGCGTGTACTTAGAATCACAGGAAAGGATTATTGTATGATATAAGATAACATGATTCAAATCCAACCTAAACTTTATACAACACGCAATCAAATTTATTAACTCTTACATGCAACATGATTCCAGACTACATCATATTTGTTTGTCAAACACAGTTGAAAATGGCATGGAACAAAGAGGTGTATTGAAAGTTTGGAAGCAAAGGAAGTAATAGTACCATGAAGTTCCCATGGATCATATTGGTAGACCTCAAGATCAGGGATGACATCTGGGTGGCAAGGTAAAAGTGAGGCTTTTCTGTGAAGGAAATGGACTACAAGCTCTTCATCTGTGGGATAGAATCGAAACCCTGGTGGAAGGTTGACATTGGTATCTCCCATTGAGGCAAAAAGAGGCAGGGGAGGATGAAGGAAGGTAGGTTTGGAAAGGATGGTATTTAAAGAGCAAAGAAAGAAGGTAGCTAGGAATTAATGAATGGATAGATTATATATAGCAGGGTCTGACGTGAAATTGAAGATGGCGTTTATCACGTACAAAACAGATACATTTCATCAAATATTTGATAATTTTTTTTGGCACGGTAGCACTCAACTCCAAGCAAGCAATGCGGCAGATAAAGGAACGTGATGGATAGATATATACTCGCTCAATAAAAAGGGATCTGCATAAGTGTGCTGGAGGGACAGAGTGTTGCGTGGCACAACGCCATACATTATATACATTACAATATAATACTATAATAAGTGAAAGACTTTGATGGTATGGGTCATCATCACACTTCACGCTGACCTCATCCACCTGTGGTTGTACATGTGGACACATTAAGATGGGTTTGTTCTTATGCCAATTGAACTAGGGTGACCCACCTCTTGGAGTGTATCTTTATATGCTTCATAATTATCAGCAATTATGCTATGTTTTTAGATTAAAATATGGGAAAAACTTTTTGTTTCAATCTCAATCTAGCAATGTAATCAATGAATTAGTAGGAGTAGCACAGTGGGAACTGCATATACATCCCACATGAAGCAAAGCAATCAATTATTTCTTTGGAAGGTGGAGTTTAACCAACTGAGAAATTCTATGTATACAACGAAGAATAAATATATAACTGTATCTATTTTAACATCAACACAACATTATTTATATGATTACCCAATAATTAAGGAAAGAAACAAAGTACGTAAACTACACTAACCATGAACTACCTTGCTTATAACATATTCAAACATTAATTAATTATATTTTGTAGTTTATTGATATTTATGTACCATATTGAGAGTTAAATCTGAAAGATATTTACTATTTACAGTACAAGGTTGTACGGTGTCTTTCTTACAAGTCGTTATACGTCAACTGCACAATTGTGCTTCACAAAATAGAAAGAGATGATGATGAAGGCCATTAAAGGGTACCTAGGTACCTTTCTTCCTGCACTGGCAACAATTGAGACTGGCACTGAAGTAGACATATGCCCTATAAGGTTGGTACCAACAGAACTTAACCAAACTAGTTATCAACAACCAAAACAAATAGTCATGATTCAAATTCTCTTACCATTTCTGGCTTCAAATCCTTGTACCATTTCATGATACCATTAATCTAATTAACCAAGTTTTGGTATTAGATTCAAACAATACTTGTACCAATTTTGGATAAGGTTTATGTCTCCAAAAACAAAAAGAAAAAAAAAAGAGATTCTACTGTCTTGGGAAGAACATATTTACACGGATGCGTGGAAGTGGAAGCACTATGGTACTCTATCTTTTCTGCTAGCTATGCCCCATTTCTGGGCTCTAGTGGAACAAGAGTTGAGGAACATCTTTCCACTGAAAAGGTGAATTCCATCCATATAAGGTCCAGTGAGCAACATTACTACATGTTTTAGCCTAGTTCTTTCTTCATGCTCAGTACCTTGGTATTCACCCTAGCCATCTTATTGGTTGTCAGTGCTTCTTCCACAAAGAAATTGCTCCTACGCACCCTTAATTGTTCTTTGAACTTTTCCTTCTATGGGGTCAGAGGAGAGAAACACTAGTGAAACAACTAAGAAGTTACTGTATGTCACAATTCTAGTTTTGTACTATCTAACAAAACCATTGACAGAGTTGTGAGGTTATTATCTTTTCTTCAGAGGAAATTATCAATATATAGACTGCATTTTCTGTGGTGGGGTTATGGTGAGAAAAAGACGTGTACAATGAAACAAAGAACTCCGAATGAAAAGCATATACCATTCTTCTGACTTTTCTGCATGATCCCTTTGTAAAGAAAACCTCATATTAGTTTTTTTTTTGTTAGATTCATTGAGAAATTCCAGATGGTTCTCTTTCGGCCAAACTGAGCCCCAATTGTCTTAAAATTATCGTCTAACAGAAATTGCACACACAAGAGTGTCCAAGTGAAGGCATGAGATGACTTATTTTTAATCATTCATTGTTGGAGCACTCACTAGTTTCAGTCAGGCCCATGTTGTACAGTTGGGTACAAGCCCACGTACCTGCTACTTCCTGAAGTAATTATTTGGTGATTTATAATACAATTTAAGCATCTAACTAATCCCAACATATTAATCTCTTCAACTCTTGTCTCCTTTTATCTTATATATAATGTATGTTCTGGTTCAATTAGAATCCAAAGCATACTAAAAGAGCACTATAATTGGTCATGGAGAAAATGACTTATTTTATCCACTGTGACTAGTAGCAGCTAGCCTGTTACATTGCGAGATTGGTCATGGAGTAGTTCACTATTCTTGGACAAGGCAGCTCCATAGCATTCAAAGAAAAGTAGTTCAATTTGAGTTAAAATGAGTGGTTGCTAAATACTGTCAATTTAACAGAAATACTGGTACAGAATCAAAGATATTCGGTCTGAAATCAAAGCATTATCACTAAGCCCCTGTTTGTTTGAACTGATTTGCGATGAAATACTGTTCACGAAGACAGAAGCACGAGATTCACCCACATTTGGTTGAACAGATTTGCGAAGAAATGCAGGCAAGGAAAAGGGGGAGAGGGGAGAGAGACTTTCTTCGCTGATCTGCGAAGAAAAGAGGTGAAAGTCTGCTGGAAATAATACCCTCTTCCATATGATAGCGGTTAAATCTTAACCGCTATTATAATAGCACTTCTAATAGCGGTTAAAACATAACCGCTATTATATATCACTTCTAATAGCGGTTAAAACATAACCGCTATTATATATCACTTCTAATAGCGGTTAAAACATAACCGCTATTATATATCACTTCTAATAGCGGTTAAAACATAACCGCTATTAGATCCTCCAATTATGATCGATCATTTCGTAAATCTAATCGATCAGAATCATATTTCGCTCGAGCGAGATATAGTCGCTCAAGCGAAACACAACCCGAGACTCAAGAAATTAAAATATGATTGTAGATGATAGCGGTTCCACTGGAACCGCTATCTAATATACACTTTAGATAGCGGTTACAGAGAAACCACTATTATATCCTCCAATTATGATCGATCATTTCAACTTATGATCGATCAGGATCGTATTTCGCTCGAGCGAGATATAGTCGCTCGAGCGAAATACGGCTTATGAGCTCACGCTTTGAGAGTTGCTGTAGCCTACCTAAGCTCCGCTTTTTCGGTTCAATCCAATCAGCGAGTGGGATTAGAGAGCAAGTCGGCGTGGGGGCAAAGGCAATAACATCCGACTCTACTTTCTTTAATCCGACTCAGCATCGATTCAATCAGGAATTGAGAAGCAAGCAGGGAGTTGATGGAACACTTTAAGAACCATTCTTAAAGGGAGCTTATAATAGAGGTTAAACCTTAACCTCTAATAAATTTAAATATTAAAATTAACTTTATCAAAAATTAGGGAAACAAAATTTATCCAAAAGAGTTCAAAATGTATAAGAGTATTCTCAATTTTGATGTTTAATTATATTATTAATTCTCAAAGTAGAAAATTATATTGTAATTATTTTATCTCAAGTTAATGTGATGAGACGATCATCAACATTTCAACATTCGAGTCAGATATATGGAACATCTTCGTCTCTCCCAAGTTGTTCATGTTCTTGCACTCAACCTTTCCACCAAGAACCAACTTCCAGTTGTAATTCTTTCTTGGAAAAAGGATGCTAACAGTTGCTTAAATTGATTGCTTTGTTTTTTTAAAAACTGATATGATAAAAGTTCCAAGCAATTCTGTTTATAAAAGAGTTTTCGAAAAAGCTGCATTAATTAATCTGCTGAAAGTTTGTTTTAATCATGTTGAAATAGCCGTTATAATCTGTTAAAAGTCCTTTCAACCCATTAATGCGTTCTTGTTCTTTAACGAATTGTTTTAGTCGATACGACCAAGTTTTTATCAGCTTAAAACTTTTTACAAACATTTTCTAAGAGTGATTTAATCGATTGATTCACGGTTTAATCGATTGATTCAGTTTAAAACTTTCTTATAACACTTTTCAAGTTATTTTAACTGATACAAAGAAGTTTTAATCGATTAAAAACCTGCATGTAATTTTTTCTAAGTCATTTTAATCGATTGAAATGTGTTTTAATCGATTTAAACTCTGTACAAAAATTTTCAAGTCATTTTAATCGATTGAAATTCGCTTTAATCGATTGAAATAAGTCTGATCGGTCATAATTCAATTCGATCGATCATAACCAACTCGATCGGTCATAAGTACATTCTGATCGATCATCCTGACTTCCAAAGTGGTTTTAATCGATTAAAACGTGTTTTAATCGATTAAAATAAATCTGATAGCTCATTTTTAAAGTCTGATTGATTATATTTCATTCTGACCTGTCATATTCGAATTCTAAGTGATTTTAATTGTTTCTTTTAAAACTATATCAGTTAAAAACATTGTTAAGAAAGTTCTTTGTCAAAATGCTTTTGTTTGATTTGTTTAAAACTATTTTTGAGGCATTTTGCAAATTGAGTGAAGGAGCTTCATGCAGTGGAAAAGGTAAAGTGGTTTTACCTAAGCTTTCGTTAAGACAGACTCCATTCTTCCGAGTGACTTGTTTGACTGTTGCAGAGTTGACTTTTGACTTTATCTTTGACTTCATCAAATCACTGAGATCTTTGCTAGTCGCTCGAGCGACATCAGTTTCGCTCAAGCGAAAAACAACCCGAGGATGAAAATTATGTGCAGGTGTCTTCGCTCGAGCGAGTTTAGTGTCGCTCAAGCGAAATATAACTTGTAATAGCGGTTTTAGGTGAACCGCTATCAAAAGTGTCGAGGTTTTGGAAATGTGATCGATCATTTTGGCAAAATAATCGATCATTTGAAAACTTTAGGTAGCGGGTAACATATAACCGCTATCACAGGTTACTTTTAAGAGCGGTTGTCTTTGTAACCGCTCTTAAAAGTGTATAT